CTGGAAGTCCCCTGGACACCACAACCCTTTCGCAATTTGGAAAGAGAGTCTCCGAATTTAAGCAAGAGCCCCTGTGCCTTGGTACAGCCCCACTTCCCTCCACACCAGCCAACATCGCCTATCTCCTCCCTCCCCCGCCCGCTAGCACGGAGCCCTGACACATGCTGATCATCGGAAACCCCATGAGGATGGGTTTTCCACGTCCAGGGCCTGGCGCTCGGGCCTGGCATTCCGTCCTGACAGCCCGGCTCCTCCCCCTGCCGGACACAGACCCCGGAAGGGCAAGGAAAACACACCTGGAGGGAGGCCAGCTGCTGGGGCCCAAGAAGGAAGTGGGAGGACAGGTGATCCAGGGGCTGGAGGCCCAGGCTGGGGGGAGAGCCCAGGGGGCAAAGGGGCTGTCTCCAGGGTGAGAGGTGGTTCCTTCCGGCCCTGAGCTGTGGGTGGGGAGGGCTTTCCGGGCAAGGAATGTGGGAGAAGGAAGGGACAGAGCTACCCGACAACCTGCTCTTTCACAAAAGCCATGATGCTGCAGGTGAGTCACGAGGGCGAAAGGTCAGGTCAAGTGTGAGCAAACCGGTTGGGCCACCCAGGCCAGCTGCCCTGGCCAGAGGGCAGGGAGAGCTGCTGAGGAGGAAGTGCAGACCCGGGACTCACCGGACCCTGCTCTGGGCCCAGCGCCCTGCCCTGCTCTCACCCGGCTCCCTCTCCCCAAGGCTGCCTGGCTGCCCCCCACCCCGCCCCCCGGGATCTGCCCGAGGCCAGTTCCTTTGTTTCCATCACAGCTGCCTGGGCTGCCCTCGGAGCTTGCTCTGGGGAGTGGGTGCTCGCCTGGGGTCCCGAGAGGAGGGCGGGGCACGGGGTGGGCGTTGGCCTGGTGCAGGGGGAGACCGGAGGGAACCGGGAGGCAGGGGAGAGAGTGGGAACACTGCCCTCCGCCCCAGCGTCCAACCCAGAGTTGAAGGGTCACTCACAGTTCCCGGCAGAGGGAGAAACCGGGGCCCTGGGCTTCTTCCAGTCCCGGCGTCTGCTCAGGTGCGGTACCTCCCGGGCTGTTTGCATAAGAAGCCTAGAGGCAGGGGCTGTAACTCTTTCCTCCCTGTGGCCAATGCCCGGGCAGCAGGGGCGGGCCAGTCCCGACGGCCAGCCTGGGCGGGGAGGGTGACCTCACCCTGAAATCCCTGAGTCAGAAGGCCCCCTGGCCCAGGGGTGGGCCCCACGCCACAGGGAGGAGTCTCAGGTCCCTTCCTCCCAGACTTCCCGGGACTCCTGGAGCACCCCAGGGGGCGAGGGCAGAGTGCCCCCCACCCCTCTCCCGTCCTCCATCTCTCCCCGCTCAGAAGCAGGTGCTTCGCCCTCTCCTGCTGCCTCTCATTTTCCTATGATGCCCTCTGCTGCAGACACAAGGGGAGGGTTTCGGAGTCACGCCTCCTGCCCGGCTGCCCGTGCCCACGACGGGGCTGGGCACGCACAGGGCACTTCCTCTTTGCTTTGGGCTTGCACTGTCCTTGTCCTGAAGGCCACGCAGCAGAGACGGAGCCTGGTGGCCAGAGTGGGGCTTGGGGTCAGGAGGCCCAAGGCAGACCTGAATGCTCTGACCTTCTTCTATCTGTGCTCGGGGCACATGGAAGCCCCTTCGCCTGCCTTCTGTGCTGCGGGGAGGGAGAGCCTTTGAACGAGAGCCCCCCGGGACCATGTGTATCCTGCCGGGGCATGTGTGTCCTGCCAGGCTCTGTGTCCCCGGCGGCCGGCATGTGGGCTGGCAGACACCGGGTGCTCAGTGAGTGACGGTGAATGACTGTAAAATGCTGCAGAGTGCAGAGACTCCTCTCCTCTGGGGAGGGGTGGTCCCTGCCTCTCCTACTGCCCTGCCCTCCACACCACCCCCTCCCATGGGCCCATCGCCTGGATGCTGTTTCCCACCCTCTTCAACCACTCCGTCATCTCCATCTTCACACCTTGATCCCTCCCCCTTTGCACTGGGCCCCGCCCACATCCTTCCTCTTGGGGACCCCCTCTCATCCACTGCCCCCTCACCGTCCGCAGCCTCCCCTTCTCCCAGCTCCTGCCCATTCTCTTAGGTTCCCGGACGTCTCCACCCTTGGCCTGCACCTGCCTCTGGCCACACAGCATCTCTCCCTCCCCTGCCGAGCTCCTGAGAGCTGTCCACACGCTCCAGTCCATCTCCTCCCTTCATTTTTCTGGCTGCAGCAATCCCCTCGGCCAGCTCCTGATAAGGCGACCACTGACGTCTGGTGGCTGCTTCCGATGCATGTTAAATGGCCTTTATCTAGCTTCCCCTTTTTCCTGGCCGCTTGTCCTCAGCTTCGAGCCAACACGCTCCTGCGTCTGCTCCTTGTTCCCTGGTGGTTTCCTCCTCTCAGGCTCTCCTCTCTTCCCTCGGTCTGTCCCCCAGACACGGTAGCCCAGGGCTGTCTCCGCACCGTGTCCCCGTGTCCCCGCTCTCTCATCATCACACGCTGAGCTGCTTCTCCCGGGCCGGAGTCCGGCCCAGTCCACTGCCTCCGGGCCCAGCCCAGCGGGCCAACATGGTTCCGTCTTATTTCTCCCCTCCTCTCCTCTGACACCCCTCCCACCCCAGCGTGCCAACTGTGATTTCCCTCAGTGCCCCCCCCTCAGCCCATGGGCTACCGAGTCCTGCTGAGTCCACCTCCTGAGTCTCCTGTCATGGAGTGTCACCATGAAGGTCTCCCCCATTCTCCAAGCCCCTGCCACAGGGGTCTTTTCCCAAACCCACTCCCTTTTCTTCGAGAGCCTTCCCAGGCTGCAGGAGAAAGCCCCGATTCCCGGTGAGAGGCCAGGAGGCCCTGCCGGGCCAGGCACTCCCCTCCCCTCTGCGCACCCAGCCCGTGCCTGCACCCAGCTGCCCAGAGAAGGGCGGGCCCTGCATGTCCCGCCTGCACCTCTGCCCGGGCACCTGAGCGTGGCTGGCTCTCACACATCCCGTGCCATGCTGGACGGGGCCGCTGTCCCCTGCTGACATCCTCCTGTCCCCATGCTGGGCCCCCGATGCTGGGCCCCCGATGCTGGGCCCCGGTCACCTTTGGGTCCCGAGGCTCCCTGCTGGGTGGCAGTTCCGCCCGTCTGTGCATGCTCAGCAAGTGAGTAACGGAGGGAAGGGCAGTCTCTCCCCAGGAGACACAGGCAGGCTCACCTTTCAGGAAATTTCTCTCTAAATGCTGCCTCGCACAGAAGGGCAGAGCGGCCTTTCCGTCCCAGGGGAGAACCCCACCCCCAGGTGTGTGTGTGTGTGTGTGTGTGTGTGTGTGGGGATGGAGCATCAGGGAGACCCACAGCTGACCCTGGGAGCAGGCAGGGTCAGAGAGCACGGTTTACACCGGTCACACAGGAGGAAGCAGAGCCAGAGACGCGAAGCAGCCTCCTGGGGTCACACAGTGAATTGGGGCCAGCAGCGGGGCCGGCAGAGTCTCTGCAGGCGCCCAGTTCCTCCCCAGGAGGCCCCACCACGCCCTCTCCAAGATACCACTGCCGCTGCTGGGAACATTTCTCAGGAGGAACCCGATATAGGGTCTTCCCCCCTCCTTCCACCCTGGCCCAGACCTGCAGAGCCGGGGCTCAGGGGAAAGGAGCTGCGGCTCCTCAGCCCTAGTCAATACACGGCACACGCTCTGGGCCAGGCTCTGTGCGGGACGCGGGGGTGCGGAGGGCAAGGCAGTCCCCCACCTCCAGGGGCACATCTCAGAGGGACAGATAGATACCCCACTATCATCAGGACACAGAATGGTGAGGCTCGGGAGTCTGCCCAGGAGACGGAGGGGCGCCAGGAGGCGAAGCGCTGGCATCCAGCCATCTATCCCACAGAAACTGGCTGGCAGGTGAGGGCGCCGGGCACCAGGATCCCTCCGCTCCCCCACCCTATAGCCCCCTGCACTCCACCAGCAGGCAAGGTCCGTTCCCTACACGCTGGGTGCTGTTCTGCACGCTGGCCACAAGGGGGCGGGCTGCCCCCTGCGGAAGCCGGAGCGCTGGCGGGGCAGCCCAGGAGGAAAGGATACTGAGTGGGGCCGTGGCCAGTCTTGGTGGACGGCCCTCCACGTGCCAGGTGCGTCCAAGCCGCACCTCTTTGAAAGCTGTCAACAACCTTAATCCCTAGGTATTGTTCTGCATTACACACGATGACACTGGGCTGGAGGATGACTGGGGGGCCGGTGACTGACCCAGCAGAATCAAAGCCGGGTCTCTAGTCGCAAACCCTGAGCCCCCTGCGCTGTAACCACGTGGGGTGGAAGACAGACCCAGCATCTTGCTTCCGCGGCCGGAGCCTCCTTCCTCTGGGCATCCCAGAGTCAGGCCTGGGACTTGGCAGGGGCCAATGTTTATTGAAATTACATCCACGACAAAGAAACTCTAGCCTCATACGTCTCAAGGGTCATCCAGCCACCCCCCTCTCCCCGCCCCTCTCTAGGCGCAGAGGCACACAGAGACCCCGGAGGCCGCGAACTGCCCGCCACGGCACAGCTGGTGCAGATGTCTGTGCGTTCCCGCCACTCCCTCCCGAAAAGCCCTAAGTTCAAGAAGTCACGCCTGCCGTGGGCAGATTTCCGAGGATGTAAGCGTTTTTTTAAAAAACGTGCTCTGTTTTCGATTTCCCAAATTAACACAACTAGAACCTGAAGCGAAAAAGAAAGAAAAAGCCACTATGACTGGACTTCTTTCTGAAACAAACCCGTTATTGTTATTATTATTATTATTTTTAAAAAGAGGGAACTGAAATGTTGGAAGCAGCCAAAAACGGAAGCAGCAGCCTCCTGACTTTCACATCCATCATCTTGTCTGACCCCCCCCTCCCCCCAGCTCCTGTGAGAAAGGCCTGCAGCCCTTGTTTCAAGGCAGAGGAAAGCGAGGCTCGCTGTGCGGGAGCTTCGTCCAAAGCCCCAAAGCCGGGGACACTGCTGCTCCCCGCTGAGCCCGACGCTAAGTCAAGTGCAGGCCCCCGCCCCCGGCTCCCCGCAACCTACCTGCTGGGGGCGCTCCTCCCGCGGCGGCCCGCGCAGGTCCTCGATGGTCTCGTAGGTGCTGTCGGAGTCGCTGCGCGCCAGCGGCCGCGGGCACACCCAGGAGCCCGCCACGCTGCAGGCCTTGAAGCTGCCCGCGCCGCCCAGGAGGCCGGCAGGGGGCGCCGCGGCGCGCGCCAGGTCGTCCAGGGACTGCGCGGGCCGCACGGGCGCCGCGGGCCGCGCGTACAGGCGGGCGGGCGGGCCGGGCGCCAGGCTGCCGCGCGGGGCCCGGCCGCGCGGGGGGCCGCCCAGGGAGCCCGCCCGGCCGCGGGGCTCGGCGGGCGCGCCGTCGGGGCCGGCGGGCGCGGGCGCGGGCGCGCTCACGAAGCGGTAGTCGTAGGCCAGCGGCTCGGGGGCGGCGGGGCCGGGCCGGGCGGCGGGCGGCGGGGCGGCGGGGCCCCCCAGCGCCGGCAGCTCGCGCACGTACTGCGCCGGCAGGTAGAAGGGGCGGCCGCCCGGCTCGCTGCGCACGTGCCACCAGTGCTCCGTGCTGCGCCGCAGCAGCCGGTAGCGCTCGTTGGGCCGGATGGCCACCAGGCTGCCGTCCTTGCCGGTGTACTGGAACGGGTGCTCCACCAGCACGTACACCTCCCCCTCCACGTCCGCCGCCATCGCGGTCTCGGCCGCCGCCTGTCCCTGCGGGCGGCAAGGAGGGGGGCGCGGGGTCAGAGCCCGGAGGCGGGAGGCGGCCGCACGGGCGCTGCGCTCCGGCCTCAGTTTTCCCGTCTGTAAAACGGGAGACTGCCGGCAGTATGACATAATCTCTTCAATCCCCATTCTTACACCCAGGGATGGAGTTACGGCATTCCATCCCTTTCATCCAATCCCTTGGGGGAGGATTGTGGGTGGCACTGGTTCAATTGAAGGGTCAGGGAAGCCTGGGTCCAAAGAGATAGGGCAAAACAAACAAAACAAAACAAAACAAAACGGGAGGAGAGGAGTGGGGAGGGAGAGAGAAAAAAAAAGCGATTTTCAACTTTTTGCGTCTCATGGCACCCATAAGTTAACTAAAATTCTGTGGCTCACCGACATCTGAAAAAATATATATAACTTTGATTTATTCACAACGGACGGCTATTATGTTGGCTGTTGTCATTTTTTCACTTGACAACCCCAGGGAGAAGAGGCCGGTGCCTTTGACTAGCCAAAGGCATGTTTACAAAATTTTGCATGTTTACAAAATCCTGTCGGCACCTCAGGGTGCTGCCGCACACGGGATGAGAATTGCTGACATGGGGTGGTTGCCCGAGATCAAGTCGACACCACCATTTGCCTAAAAGTTGAGTGGGCCTCAGTTTCCCCTTCTGAGACGCGGGAAAAACAACCCATTCGCCACATCCCGCCCACCTCGCCGCCTCCGGAGCTGACAGAATGCTCGCCCACAGCGCCTCCTCCCGGCCCGCGCCGCCCAGCCCACGGCCAGGAGCAGGCATGCGGGCCAGGCTCCGAGGCCGGGAAACCGGTTCTCTCGGTTTCTCTCGTCTTCCCCAGCGGCTTTGCCGCAGACGTGATCCCGGAGCCTGGCCCGGCCCAACCTGGCCCTCATCGCCTCTGCTCTGCGGCTCCCATTTCCCTCCTCCTCCTCCTCCTCCTCCTCCTCCTCCTCCTCCTTTTCCACCTCCACCTCCACTTCCTCCACCTCCTCCATCTTCACCTCCAGCTCCTCCTCCTCGTTCTCCTCCACCTCCACCTCCACCTCCACCTCCACCTCCACCTCCTCCTTCTCCTCCACCTCCACCTCCACCTCCACCTTCCACCTTCCACCTCCTCCACCTCCACCTCCACCTCCACCTCCACCTCCACCTTCCACCTCCACCTCCACCTCCACCTTCACCTCCACCTCCACCTCCTCCTCCACCTCCACCTCCACCTCCACCTCCACCTCCTCCACCTCCACCTCCACCTCCACCTCCACCTCCACCTTCCACCTCCTCCACCTCCACCTCCACCTTCCACCTCCTCCACCTCCACCTCCACCTCCACCTCCACCTCCTCCACCTCCACCTCCACCTCCACCTCGGGGAAAGGGCGGGCCCTCGCTCCGGTCTACCTGCGCTGAGATGTCCTCGTTGCCGCAGGCCAGTGGCCCCCAGAGAGTGCGCGCGTGTCCGTGACCACTCCGGCCTTGTCTCCAGGGCCCGGAGCGCGCACCACAGGCCCCGCCTCTCCCTGCTGGCTAGGCCTGGCTTCAGAGCCTAACTCCACATGTGCCCGTGTCCCTCCATCAAAGCCCGCGCCGGCGGCCGCCTTCGGAAGGGACTGGCTCCTGCAGGCCTTCCACACGGACCACACCGCCCGCCCACAGAGGTGGGGACCAGCACTGGGGGCTGGGCTGCTGCTGAGCGGAGGGACCCCCGGGAAACGGGCTCCCCCTGGACTTTGCCAAGCTTTCCTCGCTGGGGAAACTGAGTCACTGAGCTTGCTGGGCCTGGGCGGCAGGGTCAGCCCAGGGGAAGCCGCCAACCCCCAGGAGGCGCCCTCACCCCCTGCCCGCGCGGCCACTCACGTTGGCGGGGCGGCTCTCCGGGCGCCCATGGGCCGGGTGGGCTGCGCCCGCGGGCGGAGGCAGGTCAGGCGCCTGCCATCTCGTCTCGTGGGGCCGGGACTCCGCGGCGGGGCTGGAGAGATTTCCCGTGGCAGGAGCTGGATGGGGAACAGGGAGAGGGCGCTCCGGCGGGCTGGCCCCGAACCCCAGCGCAGCTCTGGCTGGAGGGGGCGAGGGGGAGCCGGGATGAGCCCGCGAAGACGCTGGGAGCTGGTCCCGGGGCAGGAGAAACCAGGAGAGGGGTGTGTGTGTGTGTGTGTGTGTGTGTGTGTGTGTGTGTGTGTAGGGGGGGGGGGAGGATGAGGGCGCGGGGGCTGCTGGCGTCCCTGTTGGGAACCGGCTCCCTCCGAGTGACCGGGCGAGGGGCAAGGGGCGCGGGGCGCTGGCGGGGCGCAAGCAGAGCCTCTGGAAGGCAGAGCCCCGCCCCTGCCCCCCTCTGTTCCCCGGGATCTGTTGACCACGAGCCTCTGCGTCCCAGGGACTCCTGGCCCCGGGCTTGTTGTCTGCCTGGGGCATTCCAACCCGAGCGAGGCCGCTGGCACTGGAATCACCAACTACGCGCCGTTGGCGGCCGGGCGGCGGGCACCGCGCGCTGCGCCCCCGCCCGCCCCGCCGGACCCGCTCCCGGCCGAGCGGGCGCCGGGCAAACTCTGCGCGGGGGGCGATCCCGGGAGCGCAGGGATTGGGGTGGGCGAGGATGGCACCCCGGCCTCGGTACCTTGACCTTGGGGGCGCGGAGAGGAGGGGAGGAATGCGGGGAGCGGGGCGGGGGGAGCGGGGAGGATCCGGGAGCGCGGACGGACCGGTCGCCAGGAGGTGCCCTGCGACGCGAATCCCAGCGGCGCCAACGCCCCGGCCCGCGCTGGGGCCCTGGACCTGGGCCCCTCCCATCCCCGGGCCGAGGGCGCCCTCCTCTCCCCCCCCCCCCCCCCGCCCCCTGGCTCCCCAACCCCCCGTCCTCCGCAGGGAGGGGCCGCCCAGTCCCCACGGACAGGCAGAGGAGCCGGCGCGGCGCCCCGTGAGGACCCGCACCTGCGGCCCCGGCCCCCCACCCCACCCCCGGCTCCCACCCCGCCCGGCTGGCGCGGCTTCAGCACCTCGGGGGCCCGCTCGCCTCCACTTGCTCGGCGTCCGGCGCGCTCTCCTCCGCCGCCCGGTCCCGCGGCGGGTTTCCTGTTCCACAGCCAGCGAGGGAGGCACCGGCCGGCGCACCAGCACAACTTCCTCCCGGCCGGGCAGGGCTGCGGCGGGAGAGACAATCCCCGGTGTCCCGGCTTCCTGTCCCCTCCGGCCGGGCCAGCGCCCTAGGATCGGAGGCGCCACCCCCTCCCCCCGCGCTTCCCGGGAGCCCGGCCGCACCTGGCTGTCCCTCCCGGGAGGTGGGGGCAGCCGGACCAGGATGAGAGGACGAGGGGGCAGCAGAGGGTCTCCTCACCACCTTCTGGCTAGATCTCCCTTCCGACTACTCGGTTCTCCTCTCCCCCGGGAGCCCTGCTGGGGTGGAGGGCACCCTCCCGTCTGTCTCCAGGGTAAAACCAGAGCAACTTCCTGGGGCCGGGCTCAGGATCCTCACCTTATCTCTGTCTGCTTCCTGTGAGCTGGGACACAACACCTACTTCACAGGATCGTTGAGAAGCTTAAATGAGGTGCACTAAGGACCGTGTTGTTATTATCATATTATTACTACTACTACTATTATTATTATTACTATATATTAGCCATGATGAATGCTACTTTTAGATAAATACATTTTTATTGATTTCAGAGAGGAAGAAGGGAGAGGGCGAGACAGAAGCATCAATGATGAGGATCACTGATCAGCAGACCCCTGCGGGCCCCCTACTGGGGATGGAGCCTGCAACCCAGGCATGTGACCTCTGGGCTCAACCACTGAACCACACTGGCCAGGCCTGACTAACTACTTTTATAATGAGACGAGCCTCTAGCGTTGGAATGAGGTCTCCAAACCTCCCATCCTCCTTTAGGTGGTGGTGGTGGGTGTGGGGGCAAGAGTCGCAGAGGCTCTTTGCTGAGGAGAAGGGCGCTGAGTCCGAAGGCAGGGCAGGTCACTCGTCCTTGACCCTCTTGCCCCAGGTGGGCCTGCCTCCTCCCACCCCACCCCCAGCCCTCAAACCAGGTTCCTCTTGTCTTCCCGGAACCCACCACCACCGACTGCCCCTGGAGGGAGGTGAGCTTGAAGGGAGCTGGGCTCATGGGCTGGGCAGGGGTGCTCCCTCATGGGCTGGAAGGACAGGAAACCGCAGACCTAAATGTCATCATCTCCATCCCATTTCCTGCAACCTGACTTCCCTGAAAATGAGGGTCTCCTTCTTCTGTCCTTACAGTGGGCAGCGGTGGGCTTCCCCCTGCAGGGCCCCCTGGGCTTCAGAGGAAGGTCTGCAGCCAAGTAAAAGCCTCAGACCTCGAGGGCTGATCAGGGGCCCTGCCCAGCCAGCCTGTCCTTCCTGAGCCCCTCGCTCACTCCAGTGGGGAATGCAGGCCTGTGGGCTCACATGTCCCAGGGCCAGGGGCTGTACTTTGGCACTGAAGGCACAGGAAAGGAGCCATGTGGTGGGATTTCAGGCACCCCCTTTGGGTGCTGCATGTGAGTACACCCCCCAAAGGCCCTGAAGGCCAGCCCCATGGGGGCCCTGCCTCCTCAGACTGGGTGGGGTATATACTGAACCTGTTACCGCCCTCTCTCCTCCATACCCACTGCTGGCACACAAACCTCCTGCTTGCAAATGTTTACCACCAACCCCCACCCCCCCCAATCCTGTTCTCTCGTTGCCTAGGAACTGACGGGAGAGTGGAGGCCCAATCAGGCTGGCAATGGTTGGCCCAAGGTCTCCCCCAATCAGCCACAGCATTTAGGACGCAGAAGCCGGACCAGAGATTAGAAATATCAGATCTTTACTGCAAAATCATTCAAACATCACACAGCAGCAGCTCCTTCAGAACATTGCAAAGCACACCTCAGGACCAGGGCCCCATGCTGCAAAGTTTATTGCATAAAGTGACACTTTAAATGGTGTGGGCACTACTGGGGCTCACGTCAGCTTTCCATCGGAGGAGAGGAGGTGTAACTCAGCCCATCTGGACGCATCAGCAGCTTCTGGGGATGGGGAGAGCCACAGCTTTAATGCTACCAATCTCCGGGAGCCCCAGGGGTGGAGCGGACTGAAGTGAGCACCTCCAGGGTCTCGCTCCTGCCACCTACTAGGGCACCTCGTGGAATATGGGATATACTCACAGGCCCAGGCCGGGCTCTTGCCCACTCAGGGATCGGGGCAGCCGGGGCCCCGATCAGGCTGTGCTTGCACAAGTGCTCTGTGAGGGGTGGGGTGAGGACAAGGATCCATTTCTGGTTCTGGAGGCTTCGGTGTGCTGGGCACAGGTGTGCACCCTCTTATAGAAGGCACAGAGAGGCTGTGCGGCAGCCCCTCCCCCACCTGCCTGGCACCTTCTCTGTTTTATTGCACAATTCGCCCAGCTCCACCAGGCTAGACTGGTGACTCAGCAGCCAAGTCACCCCAAGGGAGAAGGGGAGCAGGCTCCTCTCCTGACAGGACCGCGGACCTGCACACGAGGCCCCCAGTCTCCAGCTGGGTGCAGAGGTGACCAGAGGGCCCAGGGCTGAGGGGGCTCGCTGGGTTCAGGAGAGGAGGGGAGGATGCAGCAGAGGAATCACACCCCGATTCCTCCAAACCTCAAGCGTCTAAATGTCATTTGAAAACAACGCCAACACCCCTTCAAATGGCAATGGTGTCCCAATGAAATGTCCCAGTCTCCGCGGTGCCCTCCTGGGCCGGCCCAGGAAAGCTGTGTGAACGCATGGCTTTGTGAACGGAGGTGCAGCCTTCCATGGGCCTTCCCCGCTGGCCCCGCACGTCTCGGCAGCAGGGCTGGCACGTCTCGTGAAGGACGGGTCAGTGTCCCACGCTGGCCAAGGCCGGCCCCCGGTCTGGGCTCGCTGCCCTCTGTGAGCCCACTTACCTGTCCCAGCAGGGGTCAGGCAGGCAGGGGCGGGGCCCTGTGTAGGGTAGGAGTGAGGAGGGGTGGGCCCTTCCCTGGCCCAGGAAGATGCAAAGTGCTGACAGTGCTGGTTTGGAGTCATTCCCCTTCTCCTGCAGGGATCAGAATCCAGGCTACGGAGCCGAGGGCTCGAACACAGAGAAAGATGGGCTTTTCAGGTGGGGGGCATGGGGCAGGAGTAAAGAGAGGGAGAGGAAGAAGGTGGCATCAGGGCTGACCCCGCCTGGCCCCATGGCGGTTTGGCACATTGCACTTGAGCTGTTGGCAGCCAGCGTCTGGGGAGGGTGAAGGAAAGGCAGCTGGCGGGCTCGGTCCCAGGGATGCCCAATCACCTGCCCGTCTGCCCAGGCTGGGCGGTACCTGCACATCTGCTCCTGGTGAGAATTCCTGGGTTTCGTGGGTGACTTGTATAGGGTTAAGAATAAAAAAATACTTTCTATTGAAATAGGAAGGGGAAAATCCACCTTAAAAAAACTAGACCTTTTAATCAGGAACGTGGACTTGGAAATGCGCCCCAAGTCTTGTTTCCACAGTGTGTGAACAGCCCTGATGGGGTGCCAGGTCAGTGAGGTGAGCTGGAGCCGGACAGGGGGCGTCTCCCGGAGCAGGTGAGGGGGCACCAACCATCAGGGGCTCCCTCTGGACCGCTCGTGCTCTGTCACCTCTGAGTCTTCCTGACGAGGGCGACAGCTGTGACATCTCGAGGGTGGCTGGGGCTGATGACAAACCCAGCTGCGTGGCTGAGCCGAACCCTCACCCTGAGGCCTTTGGGGGGTCAGGGGACTGGGTTAGGTGAGAGCATTCTGTTCCTGGTACTTGCGCCGGCGGGCACAGCGGGGGCAGCCCTCCACCACGGCCTGGCAGCTCTGGTGGAAGACGGTCTTGCATTCGCCACACCTGGGAGGGAGAGGCAGGTGCTGCTTGTCGGACAGGCTGGAGGCCTCCCCGGGGCCTGAGGCCAGTGTTCCTGACTGGAGCCCACAGTCGGGCTGGGCTCCACCCACAGCCCCAGGCCCGCGGGCACTTCTCCATCCAGGGAGGGGAGGGTCCTGCAGCGATGTGTACCCAAGGTCATGTGATGCATGCTGACCCTCCATTTCAGTTTTTATAAATGCTGCGGAGACTCACTAATGACTTCTTGCCTATGGTTAAGACACTCTGCAGTGGGAACACCCAGCCCTGGTTGGTTCAGGGGCTGAATCTGGGCCAGGGAACACCTACTGAAAATGGATGAATGCTCTCACCAGTTCAGATGGGATTCCACTCCCATATTTTGGAAGAAAGGTTTGGTGGATGCATTTGTTCATTTAGAGGCTTCTGATGATGAGCAAGTGGTAACTGGGAATAAGAACAACCTTGACAGGGGCAGAGGTCACCCACCAGCTGCCCGTTTTGTGCTGGGCCTTGTCCAACATTCCTCAACCCATTCATAGCTGACAACACTGAGGCCAGCGGCATTCTGTGAGGGCTTGTGGTCCCCTGAGCAGGACTGGGGCTGGCCATGGCTGCCCAGGGCATCAGCTGCTCTAAACAACCTCACCAACCCGAGGCACCAGCGCAGAGAGGATGGTAAGTGTGTTCCCACCCTGAAATGCTGGGGGCATGGGCAGAGTGGCGCGCCTGGCGGGGTGTCCTGCATACCTGACAGTGGTGTCAAACTCAAAGGGGAAGATGATGTCATGGTGGTGGCAGATCTGACAGATGAAGCCACGCTGGGTGCACAGGTCACAGTGGTAGACGTGCTGGGAGGCGAACTCGATCAGGGCCTTGAGGAAACCTTCATACACTCCCTCCGAGATCTGTAGGGGCAGGGGCAAGCCGCCGGCATTTTAGGGAGCTGTGCTGAGGCCACGGCCATCCGCAAAACGTGGCCTATTGGTGGCACCCTGCCTGAAGGACTCCCCCTCCCCCCGGCTCTGTGGCTCTGTGGCTGAGCATAAACCCATGCACCAATTGGTCCCCGGTTCGATTCTTGGTCGGGTTACATTCCCAGGTTTCAGGCTGGATCGCCAGTGCAGGGGGATGGGGTGGGAGGCAACCGATCGATGTTTCTCTCTCATCGATCTTCCTATCTCTCCCTCCTTCCCTCCCTTTCAAAAAAAAAAAAAAAATTCTCCCCAAATCAGGCCGAGCAGTACAGGCATCAGCCTTTGTGCAGTTGGGGATCATGGGATTGAGAGACAAGGCCCAAATCCACTGTTTCTTTCCTTGAGCAAAGGAATGCCTCAAACGCTTGCCCTGTGACCACTTTTCCAGGGGCCCTGCGGGCTCACTCTGCCCCAGAAGCAAGGAACGGGGGGATGCATTCCAAGGTCCTGAAACGCTGCAGACCTCTGTTTTGTCTCAGTGAACTCAGCAACACCACCCACCCCCCTTTTGCTTTTCCCAGTAATGGGGTCTCTCTGGAGAGGTCTGGGGATGGGGGACAACTCTCTCACCTGCTGCAGGTCAGCGACACTGTACTTGTGGGGAGACTCCAAGAGGTAATTCCTGTGGCTGAGCCTTCAAAGAAAACACAAGCGGTCCCTTAGAAGCGTTTCCAAGTCCCGGCCAACCTGTGTTTGTTGTCCCCTGAGCCGGGCTAACCAGGCACCTCCCACTGGGCGGAGTGGTGACCAGGAGCACAGCCAGCCGGCCTGGCCGGAACCTGGCCTGCCAGGGCCTGACTAACATGGCCCCTCGGCAGGTTACTTAACCCCCTGAGCCTCACGTTTCCTCACCTGAGAAATGGAGCTGCCGTGAGGGCTGAATAAGTTATTTACAGCTTTTGGCACAGTGCCTGGCACATCGTAAACAATGAACAATTACCTAACTCTAGTTGCTAAACTTGTATTGCATAATTGAAATTCGCTGAGAGATAAATGTTCTTACCAAAAAAATTTATGAAAAATAAATAAGCAAATAAGGTAGTGAATGTGTTAATTAACCAGATGGGAGGAAATCTTTCCCAATGTGTACATATTGCTAATCAACATGCTGTACACTTTAGATATCTTACAATTTTATTTGTCAACTATACCTTAGTAAGGCTAAAAATACTTTTTAACTTAAATGTATAAAAAATAAATGTCTATAAAAATAATAATGAGAAAGAGGGTGATGAAAGTTAACAGTTGGTACCAGGAACTGGGCTGAAAGCTTATAAATATATAGTGGCCAGATTATTATGATCTCTGAATGCATAATAATCTGGCCACTCAATATATACATATATTAGAGGCTCAGTGCATGAATTTGTGCATGAAGCCTGGTCAGGGCAAGGGGACATGGGTGGTTGGCCAGTCTGCCAGCTGGTCGAACTCCTGGTGGAGGGGACAATTTGCATATTAGCTTTTTATTATATGGGATATATTTACACTGAATGGCCAGATTATTATGCAATCATAGATCATAATAATCTGGCCACTCATTGTATATAAACTTATTCAACCTCATACTAATCCTTGGAGGTCAGCACTATTACAATGCTCCCTTTGGGGAGGAGAGGACACGGAGGAACAGAGAGGTTAACTAACTTGCTGTGGCCGCCCCGCTAGGAAGCTGCAGAGCTGGAGTTTGAGGGTGAGCACTTGGCTCTGGAGCCTGCGGATGCCTGTAGATGTCAGCTGCTGTCATTATTGCCCCATCACACATCAGGGACAGTGCTGGGGACAGAAATGCACAGGACGAGGCTTCTGCCCTCCAGCAGCCCTGGTCTGGCTGAGGGACAGACATTCAAGCATCTGCTTTCGGTGCCCTGTGAGGACCTGAGACCTGTCCTGAGCCCACGGCAGATCCCATTTCAGAGGCAGGTGGGGAGGCGGGGAGGATGAGGCTCCACCACCCCCCAGGCTCTGGTTTCTACCGCTGATGACAGAGGTCCCAGGGTTACATCCTGCGAGACACAGAGGAAACACCTGCAGACGTCCCCCTGGTACAAAGCCTGCCTGGCCATGCTGTGTGTGCGTGGTGCTGGGGTTCTGGGGAGAGGGATCCAATGCCAAGGAAGCCTGGAAACCCGCCCCAGGAGGCTCTGAACATCCGGCAGGATGGGGCCAGACCCGGGCTGTCTGGAATGGGGGCTTGGCCATGGCTCACTCCACAGCCTCCATTGTGGCCCGGGGAAGCCAATCCAGGGTGGAGATGGCAAGTCCTCCCAAACAACCAGGCAGGCCGCATGGTGGTCCACGGGGTGGGGACGCTGCCGACTGGATGCTCAGTTTTTTTCTTTTTTTCTCTTTTTAATACACCCCCCCACCCCACACACACACACACACACACACACACACACACACACTATTGATTTTAGAGAGGAAGGGAGAGGGAGAGAGAGAAACATCAATGATGAGAGAGAATCATGGATCGGCTGCCTCCTGCATACCCCACACTGGGGATTGAGCCTATAATCCAGGCATGTGCTCTTGATGGGATTCAAACCCCAGACCCTTCAGTCTGCAGGCCGAAGCTCCATCCACTGAGCCAAACCAGCCAGGGCTAGACGCTCAGTTCTTTATGCTGGTCTCCCTAGGAAAATCCCAGCTTTCTGGGAACAGGAAGCCGCCATTTATCACCAGGAAAACTCAGGGGCGGGGGAGGGGTGCTCAGGCTGTTCCTGAGCTGGCAGGAAGGGTGGGGCTGGTTTGGATGGGGAGTCACCTCTATCATCTGCCTCTGCTCAGTCATGGAGGCCCTGGGGGCCACCAGGTCCGGAGCCTTCCCTGTGAGCCACTGCACCTGGGCCTGTCACACTCAGAGGCCTCACAGCTGCAGAGGGAGGTGAAGTCAGGGGGGCGGGAGCTCCCCTTTGCTGGTGGCAGCCCCCTGGCTGGGTCCTCTGAGGGAAAGGGGATCCCACATCCGAGACCTACCTCTTCCTTCTCAGCCCTTCTCGTCCTCTCGCCCTCCACCTGGATGACTCAGTCCAAGCCACCTTTCCTCTCGGAGAATTACTAGAATTGCTACCACTGCTGCCAAACTCGGTCTTGTCAGACTCCTGACCGGAATGCGGCAGTCCCTGCTCACACCCTCCAATGGCTCCCACTGCTGGCAGAACAACAGCCAGGTGCCTTTGGGTGGCACACAGCGCCTCCAGGTCTGGCCCTGCACCCACAACCCAGCCGCACTAGGCCCCTATGGGGCCTGGTGAGCCACACGCCCACCCCCTCCATGCCACAGGTCCCCTTAGCCAGGAGAGCCGGCCTCCCCTCCCCCTTGGTTTTCTAGGCCCATCTCTCTACACGCGGGGTGCCGTGTGCTGTGGTAACCCTGCTTTCCTGTGTGGAAGGCAGGATGAGTCTGGAAGCTCAAACAAATACCTCAGGTCCCAACTTCCTGCCTGATTCTCATCTGACTGTTGGAATATTATCTTTGCAGGAAGAAAAGCACTGTTTTTCCTTCATGAACAGGCTCAGCTCAGATGCTATCTCCTCTGGGGGCTACCCTGGCCCTCTGGGCCCTGCCAAAGCTGGGTCAGGTGCCCTCTCTCATGGCACATGCCACGCTGAGCCAGGGCCTTCTGTCTGCCTGTCTGTGTCCCTTCCCAGGCCCTAAGCCTCTTATGCAGCCTTCACCACAACTCAGGAAGGCCACACGAATACAGGGGGACTTGCCCATTTTACAGACAAGAAAAACGAGGCTCCTCTCGTGCTCTTTCTCGTGCCTGTTGTGCTTCTCTTTTAAAAAAAAAAAAAAATGTTTTTATGGCCCAGCTGGCGTGGCTCAGTGGTTGAGCGTGGTCCCAGGCACCAGGAGGTTGCCAGTTCAACTCCTGGTTAGGGCAATGCCCAGGTTTCGGGTTCAATCCCCGGTGGAGGCTGTGTGGGAGACAGCTAATTGATGTTTTTATTTCTCTCTCCCCCCCCCCTCTCAAATCAATAACAGCATATATACATATATGTGTGTGTGTTAAAACACATGTTTGTTTATCTCAGAGGGGAAGAGAGAGGGAGAAAGGGAGGGAGGGGGAGAAACATCAATGATAAGTCCCTGATGGCCGCCTCCTGCACGTCCCGGAGGAGGCCGGGGCGTGTGTCTGTGCGGGGCTCACCTTTTGCTGAGCTCCTTCAGGGCGCCGCTTCGGCACAGGCCCAGGTAGTCCCCCAGGAGCTTCAGCTGCTCCCGGCTCCTCCCGATGAGGCGCATCCGCCCCTCGTGCTCGTACAGCGACGGGTTCACCAGCTGCAGGTTGATGAGGGGCTGGGCCCGGATCTTCGTCAGGAACTTGAGGGCCTGCCGGCAGATCTGGGGGCACCACCGGGCAATGGGGGTGAAACAGAAAGGCCATTCAGTAAGCGCCTCTGGGTCAGGCCCTGTGTCACCCACCCACCCAGGCTGCGGCGGCTCCAAGAGGAGTGGTGCCATTCCATTTACAGGTGAAGAGACTGAGGGTCAGAGAGATGACGTGCCTTGGCCTGGGCCCACGGCTCATAAACCCAGTTTATATAAGCCCCAAACCTCCTCTCCCTCCATGGCACCAGCTGCTTGGGTCCCCCTCCCCTGGGCCTCAGAGACCCTTCCCACAACTTCCTCTCCTCCCAGCCCCCATTTTCCTGCCTAAAGGCCGACTCAGGAACCAGGTGACTGGCTGAGTCAGGCTCCAACCACAGGAAGCCACAGATCAGACGCAGCCTGACAAGAGGTTTCCCCATTCCCTCGCTCTCGCCAGCAGCAGCAGCCAGGGCTCCCCCGTCTCCGGGCAGAGTGCAGTGACCAATCTCAGGCTGCCCACCTGAGAGGGTGCTGGAAGTTTCACCCTCAGGCCCACCCCTAATGCCAAAGCCACGTACTGAGCGCCTGCTATTTGCTACCCGCTGGGCTGAGGACCCTGACCACCTCTTTTCTTCATCCCCAAGAACAACCCAAATGGGAAGGTGCCATCATCCCCACTTTACTGGTGAGGAAACTGAGGTTCAGAGAAGCTAGCGAGGCTTCTCCAGCCCACCTGGAGGAAGAGGAGACCAGGTCTACACTGAGGCGTGGTCTCCTCCACTCTCAGCGGTGCAGGAGTTAGGAGTCTGTCTGTCAAGTCAGAATTGGATTTGAATCCTGGCTCTACTACTTCCCACCTTATGACCCGTGAAACTTCCTTCCTTAATCTCTCGGTGACTCAATTTCCTATGTGTAAAATGGAAAAAAATAAAACCACTTGTCTCCTGGAATTATTTTGAGTTTAGATTAAAAAATAATCCAAGTGCACTAGCAGGTTTGCTCAGTGGTTAGAGCACCAGCCCTCGCACTGAAGGGTGCTGGTTTGATTCTGGTGAAGGGCACGTACCTCAGTTGCAGGCTTGATCCCAGGCCCCGGTCAGGGCACCTGCGGGAAGCAACCGATCAATGTGTCTCTCGCACATAGATGTTTCTCTCTCTTTCTCCCCCTCCCTTCCACTCTCTCTAAAAAATTAATGGAAAAATATCCTCGGGTGAGGATTAACAACAACAAAGTCTATGTAAGCTCCTGGCATGGAGCATAGACTCAGCCAAGGGGCTGCCATCAGACTCTGAGCTTCAGCTGTGGACCAGCTGCCCCCTGGAGGGTCAGGAATGTAACAGGGACCTCAGGAGGCTTCTGGCTTCTGGTTCTCCAAGTCCACTGGCATCTCCCGCCTCCCCCAGCAATGGACAACTAACTCCTTCTCTCCCATTTCCCAGAGGTACCAGCCCCCAACTACTGGGCAGCCTAGAGTCCAAGCCCCTGTGAGTGAGATCAGACTGCCGTTCCCCAGCCCCCACCCACCCCATCCCTGACCGCAGCTCAGCCTCAGGCCTTGGGTGAGGCTCAGATGAAATAACACGAGGAATGTGCGCTGGAAATAGCCCAGCGCTGCAGGCGGGCAGGGGCTTTGTGCTCCGGGGACTGCCTCTAGCCCGCAGGCTCACGGAGGAGACAGACAAAGAAAGCAGCCTAGTCCTGGCCTCACATCCTGCCAAGTGCCAGGCTGGCCTCACACAAGTGGGTCAGCCAGGGCAGTGACAGTGAGCAAAGAGGCCTCTGACCTGAGAGCCAGGTGCTTTCTAGTCTGAACTTCCCTGTTTCCCAGCCAGGGACCTCGGAGAGGGAGCGGGCTATTTGCCAGTCTCAGAAGCGCCGAGAAGAGTATTGTCATTCTCTAGCTGGAACGAGGAAGTGGCACCAGAATTACAGCAACGAATGTGGAGGTGGCTCCACAGAAATATCCAGGTGTTGTAAATAGTGAGTGTGTTTATGGTCAATGGGTTCTTTGCATTTGTGGTGATTTTGAGGTTTAATTTTCTCCATGTAGTTATTTAAATACTTAGCATTGAAGGCATGGGTGGGGATGAGGTAACCAAACCCCCCCCCCCCCGCCCCCACAAACAAAAACAAAATGAAGTTAACGTCTTTGCGGTTCCCATCCCCAGGAGGGTAGAGGCTGGGATGGCACAGACTCTGAGTCCTGTGCTCCCTGTGCCCTGGTGGACACATCCACATGCCAAGACTGCATGGACCCTGTCCGTGACCCAGGGGCAGTGTGACCTGCATCGGGAAGGGGAAGGCACCATGTAAGGCACCGCCGAGTGACTGCGGGAACCGCCTCCTCAGGCCTCACACAGACACTGGCAGAACCCGCCTTCCCGGTGAGGAGCGGAGGTTAAATACTCCGGTCACAGTAACGCAGCCAGAACAGTGGGCAGGCTCAGCTGAAGAGGAAAGCCTGAACCATCTTGAAATATATCTCAGTTAAAAGCATTTGGTGAACATAAGAAAGTATCAAAGATGTCATACCAAGTAAACAAAGTGTGTTCTAAAACAATGTGAGTCCAGTATAATCCCAGTTTTATAAAAAAAGCAGATACAAACATAAATAGATGCATGGTGTGGACCAAAAAGGGGTGCTACATCTAACCAGAAGTAACCTCACAAGCGATCGGATCATAAATCCCTGACTGGGCAGGTCCCGGGGGTAGGCGTGCCCCAGGCCTGTACCTTCTCTAGCAAAAGGCTTATCTCTGCCTTGAGCAGGCGAGGTCCACTGTCCTGTACATCTAGGCTAACACACGTCTGAAACGCCTCTTTTAAACCCCCTTCTCTTTAAGTGCGACCACTCTATTTTATTCTGTAATTTAGTCCCTGCCTTGCTGTCTGTCACCTTCATGTAATCTTCATCACGTTCCCTCTTTAATTGCAACGTATAAAAGAAAGTGCAAAGCTGTCATTCTTTAGAGTATTTGAGGTCTTGCTTCCTGGTAATTGTCATTCGTTTTTTCCATTGTCAGGTTCTTACTTTGACAACAGAAAAGGCTGACTGCTCCAAGGGGATATGCAACCAGCTGGCCAGACCATCCATCTATCCACCCATCCATCCACCCACCCTTCTATCATCTACCCATCCACCCATCCATATCCATCCATCCACCCATCCATCCACCCACCCTTCTATCCATCTACCCATCCACCCATCCATATCCATCCATCCACCCATCCATCCACCCACCCTTCTATCCATCTACCCATCCACCCATCCATATCCATCCATCCACCCATCCATATCCATCCATCCACCCATCCATCCACCCACCCTTCTATCCATCTACCCATCCACCCATCCATATCCATCCATCCATCCACCCACCCTTCTATCCATCTACCCATCCACCCATCCATATCCATCCATCCATCCATCCATCCATCCAGTTGCTGGTGCCTTACACAGTTTTGCGTAGCCATGAGGAGCTGCAGAAAACCATCTTCAGACTCCTCCTCCCTGAGGACCACGCAGGCACTGACAGAGCTCAGCAGCAAGTTTTTTCTTGACTACCTTCCCCATATCATGAGCCCTGAACCAGCGACCCTGCCTTCCTTAGAGCCAAACTCCCCCCAACAGATGGACAGCAGCAGCCAAGAGGGGTGGCCATTTCTCTGTCATCCAGCAGCCCTGTGTGGCCATGGCAGGCTGGGCGGGGGACTCACCGGGCGCTTGGTGAGGTCCCAGTTGTGGATGATCCTGGCCGGAATCACTGCAGCATCGTCTTGGTGGCAGACGTCGCAGTAATAGAGGCCAGAGAAGGCACAGAGCTTGGGTCGAACGAATGAGAAGCCGATCTGCCGGGAGCAGCCTGGGGAGAAGGATATTGGGAGAGTGAGCAGCGGGGGCCAGAGCCAGCTCCTGAGGAACACAGAGGCCTGCTATCTCAGGAGAGTCTGAAGATAAAAAAGGAGAGTATAAAGATAAGAACCACCACCACTCAGAATCAACCCCATTAATTAATCTTTACAACACAACCCCATTAATTAATCTTTACAACACAACACTGCAGAGACTTGGCAGTCACTCAGGGATGAAGTGGCACAGCCAGGATTCAGAGCTGCGTTGTGTTGGTTCTAGCTGCATTCTCTTAGAGCTAGCTGCCTCCTTCCATATTCCCCTGCTTGTCCACCGAGGTCAACCTCCTCTAGGTCTGTCCCTCCACTGGGGCCCAGACAAGGAAGCAACTAAGTCAGGGCCTTGCAAATCAGGCATAGGGAGTGGACAGGAAGGCAGGAGGAGGCAGGGCCTGGAGCCAGTTGGAAGTGAGAGCTGCTGGATACCCCAGGAAGGGAGGGGGGGGAGGGGGTGCCAGCTTCAGCGCCTCAGCTGGAAGTCCCGCCGATAGGGAGCAGAGGGAGTGAGTCACTGTGCCAGGCAAACAAGGGTCTGGCCCAGCCTCCCACGGGGCATGGGACAGAGTCCCTCGGGCCTCAGGACTGGAAAGGCCGGTTTCTCCGCTTACCAGCGGCCTCATCCTGACCTCCACGGAATCTTTTCCGGGTCCCCTTTCAGTGTCTGTGCAGCTACCACTGGCTATTCTGCCGGGTTCGTTCTTTTTTTTAAAATATATTTTATTGATTTTTTATAGAGGAAGGGAGAGAGATAGAGAGCTAGAAACGTCGATGAGAGAGAAACATCAACCAGCTGCCTCTTGCACACCCTCTACCGGGGATGTGCCCGCAACCAATGTACATGCCCTTGACCGGAATCGAACCTGGGACCTTTCGGTCCGCAGACTGACGCTCTACCACTGAGCCAAACCGGCTTCGGCCTGCGGGGTTATTTCAAAATTTAAATGAGACAGGCTTTGAAAGCGCCCCACAAACTATGAGACACAAGCCAAGAGGCTGTGATTGGTGTCCGCCTTCCGCGGAGAGGAAGCCCAGGCTGCCCAGTTTCAGTCTTGCCCAAAAGCTGGCGAAGGCTGGCGGGTGGCAGGGACATCCGTGTCTCATGGCCACCATGTTGGACAGCACAGTGGGGTGTGTACACACACACACACACACACATTTCTGCAACTTGGTTTTTTTTCTAGTTAATTTCTCACTGCATTCATCCTCATCCACAAGTGTGAATCACCTCAAAGGGGGTGAGGGGGTGTGCTGGTGGAGGGCGGAGGTGGGGTTGAATTAGTTTTCAGCAGGAAACTGCCCTGCCTTCCGAGGGGTACTGACCGCAGACCACTTCCTCCCAGACGCCTGCAGCAGGCTTTCCCCTCAGTCCCACAGGCTGCACCGACAGGACGGCTCCTAGCCCACTCGCAGCCGCAGCCGCAGCTTTGGCACGCACGCAGCAGCAGGCACGCCACTCAGTTCCCTGGGAGGGCCCAGGGGATGGGACGGCTGCTGGGCTGGGAGGGAAGAGCTAAAGATGGGACATGAGCCGCAGAGTATCAGGCAGCCTCGAAAACAGGCAGCAGACAGGGCCTATGGGACCGGCTAAGAGCAGAGCTTCTGGGAACAACATGGCCCTCAACTGGCTCAGCCGCTTGCTGTGTGGACCCGGGGCAGGTTCTTACAGCCCTGTGACTCAGTTTCCTCAGCTATGAGTAGAGATAACAGTGCACCTGTGCCAACAGGGTGGTTGTGCGGATTAAATAAGACAATTCAAATAAAGCACCTGGACAGTACCCAGCACTGATGTAGCAGATGCACTGACTTGAATACTCACATGTATTTTTAACTAGAAAAAAACCCAAGTTGCAGAAATGTATACACACACACACACACACACACACACACACCACTGTGCTGTCCAACATGGTGGCCATGAGACACGGGTGCCCTTTTAAACTTAAATCCATTTCAAGGAAATAAAGTAAAAAGTTCCGTTCCTTAGTCGCACCAGCACGTTCCTCGCGTACCCAGCAGTTACACGTGGCTGGTAGCTACTGTATGGGACATTTTCATCAGCACAGAAAGCTGTATTGGACAGCATTGAGTAGTAGGAGCCCATTTTTGTAATTTAAAAAAATTGTGCCCACTTGCAAAAATATTTGAAAGGGTACGATGTCTCTGCTCCAAAATAATGCGATCATGTTGTGATCTGAATGGGAAGGGAGTGGAGCGCCTGGCCCCCCAACTCCCTGGGCCTCCCACAGGCCTCGCCCCTGAGCAGTGGCGGGAAGGGCGAGGGATGGAGGCGCCCACAGCAGGGCGCGGGCTCACTGGCTGCTGGGAGGAGCGGACACTATCGGCTGCAAATAGCTTCATGTGCAGCAGCAACCCAGAGGGGGATGGGCCGGGAAGGGGTGCAGAGCCGGGAAGGGGTGCAGAGCCTAAGGCAGCAGGCCCGCTGGAGGCAGAGGGAGGAGGCGGGCTAGGGCTGGGGCTGGGGCTGGGGGTGAGGGTAGGGGTGGGGAGGGCGGCGGCACCTGCGCAGAAGCAGCCCTGGGAGTCGAGGCCCTTCTCGGTGGGGATGGCCACCAGGTACTGCAGCAGGAAGCCGTGCTCCCCGGTGGCGAGCCGCAGCACCTCCTGGCAGTTCTCGTCCAGGCTGCCGCCCAGCGTCACGGCCTCCTCCGCCGCCTCCAGGTAGGACGCCAGCACCTTGCGCACCAGGTCCCGCCACAGGGCGGCGTCCTCGGCGCTGCGGGCCTGCAGCTTCAGGACGGCCTTGGCCGTGATGATCTTGAAGAAGGACGGGCCGCCGAGGCTGGTGTCGGGCAGGATGTCGCGGATGGTCTCCACGCCGTGGCTGTCGCTCAGCATCTTCTCGTCGTTCTTCAGGCGGAAGCAGCGCAGGGCCTCCAGGGACAGGGAGAGGATGCAGGGCGCCCAGGCCCGGTCGGTGAGCAGGTACAGGAGGGACTCTTTGATGGCGTCCGGCTCGGGCACGTGGGCGGAGGACCAGTCCAGCGGCGCGCCCCGGCGGGGTTCGGGCTCCGCGGGGTCCGGGTGGGGGGAGGCGCCGCCCTCGGGGGGGCCCTCGGGGGGGTCGCCGGGCGGCTCCGGGTGCGGGAGGCTCACCCACTCCTCCTCCTGCTGCGGCCGGCACTTGTGCAGCGCCTCCCGCACGCGGTCCAGCCAGTCCTCCGCCTCGTCCCGGGAGGAGGCGCGCAGGGCCAGCTTCCGGCCGGAGAAGACCAGCTCGAAGCGGCCGTCGCTGTGGGCCGGGCCCACGGACTCGCAGCGCAGCAGCGAGCAGGTGTCCACGCAGGTGCGCTCCTCGCCGCGCAGGTAGAGGCGGAGCTCCAGCGGCGACAGCTCGCAGAAGAGCTCCTTCCAGATGCCCACGGCGCCGCGCCGCTCCACCGCGCCCAGCTTCAGGAGGCCCCGGAACGGGTTGGACAGTCCTGCGGGCGGAAAGAGGCGCTTCAGACAGCGGGCCCGTCCCTACCGCCCAGGGAAAAGCATCTGGGTGAAAAAGCCTGCGATGTGAAGGAAAGTCAAGGATGACTCCGAGGTTTTTAGGCCAGGCGTCTGGGAGCATTTTATGAGATGAGAAACTTAACCCAGAGGACATTTTCATCAGCGCGGTTAGTTGTATGGAACCGTATTGAGGAGTATGAGCCCATTTTTGTAATTAAAAAAAAAAAAAAATTGTGCCCACTTGTAAAATATTTGAAAGGGTACCATGCCCCTGCTCCAAAATACCCTGATCATGTTGTCATTAGGAGAGAGGCAGGTTTCGGGCGGAGAGTCAGGAAGTTATTTTGGGACGCGGCAGTTTTGAGAAGCCTATCAGACATGCAGGGAGCGGATGGAGATGCGAATCTGAGGTTCGAGGGCGAGGCCCATGCGGAGAGAAACATTGGGCAGCTGTTGGCATAAAGCCCTTTTGAGAGTAGGTGAGATCGGCTGGGACATGGGTGTCAACAGGCAAGAGGACCCAGGACTGAGCTCACCTTCTGCAACATGGTTACAACCACATCACATAGGCTGACAGGAAAACCTAAAAGAAGCCAGCCTGGAGACCAGGGCCCCGGAACCTGGCCAGAATTCTCTGCTGGCTCACCGCAAACCGAAAATGAGAGGAAGAGACGGACTCCAGGGCACACTTTTTTGCTTGTTTGAAACAGGAAGTTCATTTATGAAGGTTATAGAAAAATCAGTTATTAGTCCATTCTGGACTTCCCGGGAGTGGGAGAGTGTGGAGATCAAGACAGAACCAAGAGTTCCAAATAATAAGGCTTATAGGGTAGTTTCAGGGAAAATAGTTTCCATCTCAATATATGATACAGTAGCCTGGCTGGTGTGGCTCAGTGGCTCAAGGGGTCATGGTTTGAGTCCCGGTCAGGGCATTAGCAAGGATTGCAGGCTCGATCCCTAATGTAGGGCAGGCAGGAGGCAGCCAATCGGTGATTCTCTCTCATCATTGACGTTTCTCTCTCTCTCTCTCCCTCCTCCTTCTTCTCTGAAATCAATAAAAATATATTTAAATATGCATTTTGAGCATTACTTTTTGAGGCTATGAGAAAATATACGTAACCCTTTTCCTGCAATGCTTTCTTGAATTGCTCATCATGGGATGGACGTTTTCTTGTGAGAAGACACCACCCAGTTGGTCATGGAAAAGAGGCCGTCAGAAGGGCTTTCTGGAAGGCGTGCCCCTGCCGTGGGGCCTGGAGTTATGCAGCCACCTACCCATCTGCCTGCGGTGCACCACCCTGAAGTTCTTATGCTCCCGCGCGGTGGCTGCCGGGCTCTGCCTGCTTCCTGGAGAGGGCACGCACGCTTTGTCCAAGGCCCCCATGGAGGAGCTTTTCCTGGGTCCTTGAGAGAAATGCCTGAGAGGACACGGCCTGGACTCGGGAGTCCCGCTGGCAGAAGCTTCGGAGCCGTCTGAGGGGCTCTCTGGGGCTGGCTCCTGGGGAGGCCGGTAGAAGTCATCTTCCGAGATCCAGCTCTTGCTTTTCTACGGAAAGAAGCAAAGACACAGGCGGGTTTTTAAGTTTTTTTTTAAAAAAGACATCTTAATTGAGATACAATTCCCATATCATAAAAATATATTTAAACTGTACAATGCAATAGTTTTAGTATATTCACATAATTGGGCAACCATTACCACTAAGTTTAGAACACTTTCCATACTCCATTAAAAACAACCCTTTCCACCCTAGCCAGTCTGGTTCAGTGGCTAGAGCATCGATCGACCTGCCAGGATTAAGCCTGCAACCGACGTACATGCCCTTGGCCAGAATCGAACCCAGGAAGGACCCTTCAGTCTGCAGGTCGATGCTCTATCCCTCAGAAAGATATGCTGGAATTCTAGCCCCCAGTACCTCAGAATGTGACCTTATTTGGAAATTGGGTAATTACAAATGCAATTAGTTAAGATGAGGTCATACTGGGGTATGGTGAGCCCTTCATCCAATGTGACTGTGTCCTTATAAGAGGAGAAAGACACACAGAGAGAGAGAGAGGGAGGGAGAGAGAGAGGCACAGAGGAATGTGATGGAGGGAGGGATGGAGCAATGGGTGTACAAGCCAAGGAATGCCAAGGATTGCTGGTAACAGCAGAAGTTAAGAGAAACGCAGGGAACAGATTCTTGAATCCCAGAAGGAATCAACCCTGCCAACATGCAGATTTTGGACTTCCAGCAGAGAATACATTTCTGTTGTTTTACACCAGTTTATAGTACTCTGCTACAGGATCCCTAGGAAACAAATACAATTTGCAAATCATTTCTCCAATTCTGTAAGTTGTCTTTTCACTTTCTTGATGGTGCCTTTTGAGGAACAAAATTTTTAAATTTTGAAGAAATCCAATTCATCTGTGTGTTGTTGTTTTTTTAATTTTTAATTTTTATTTTTTTATGTGTGTGTCTGTCTGTGCCTTTGGTGTTGTATCTAAGAAACCATTGCTTAATCCAAAGTCACAAAGAGTTACTCCTGTTTTCTGCTAAGAGCTTTAGTTTTAGATCTCAGAATTAGGTCCATGATCTACTTAGAGATAATTTATATGTATGGCGTGAGGAGGGGTCCACCTTTATTTTTTTCTATGTGGATTGTCAGTTGTCCTAGCACCATTTGTCTAAGGGATGTAGAGTTTTTCGGCTCTGCTCATATGGTCTGAGACAGGGAGGCATGGGGGAGAAGGATCCAGAGTTCTCACTGGCAACCCCTGCTCCTGCTCCGCCCTTCAGAGGAGGCCCCCTGGAGCCAGCAGCCTCCCCTCTTCTTCCCCTTCTGTTCTCTCTCCGAGTCTGAAGCTGCTCACCGGCTTTGAGGAGCGGAGTGGGTCTGGGGTCAGGGCTTGAGGGGATGGAATCTAGCACACCCCCTTCTGCCCCCCCTATTTCAAACACTCGCAGCCTTTCTGTGCCTAAGTGTGCAAGAGCAGAGGCAAGGAAGCCGCGGGGCCACCAGACATGTGTAGACAGAGGAAATGAGTCACACGGGGGGCCAGTCCAGCTGTTTTGTTAAGTGCCACCAATCTCAACCTGACATTGCTATTTCCAACCGCTAAATCAAGACTGCCCTCCGTGCTCCCTAGACAGTGAAGGGGAGTAGGATTGGGGGTTCCCCAGAAAGACTGGGTTAGACAGTTTAATTCATTCAGATGCTGTAAGGCTCCTTTCAGCCGAGAGTGAGAGTTCTGAGCCCGGAGTTTGGGGGAGGCTCACAGAGCTGGCCTCAGGGCTTCCTCTGAAAACCCTCTGGCTCCACAGGTGCTTCCTTCTGCCTGGGGCAGGACAATGTGCCGGTGAAGGTGGCTACAGGGGCCGTTCACAACACAGGCCTCTGAACAAAGCCTCCTGGGCCATCGGCACACACACCTCCCAACCCCTGCTAATGGCCCTGCTGGGAGAGAGCACTATCCCTTGAGCCTCAGCTCACCGGTCATCTACTACCTCCCCCTGGAAGCTTTCCTCACTCCTCCCTCCCCCCACCCCCAATCGCCCCCAAACTGGGTTAGGAAGCCTCCATCCACCCAGGGGGGGGGGGGGGAACCATGGAGTCCTGGACTTAGTCCCATCGTTGCATCTACAAAGCCGTTCAGAACAGTCATTTGGATTTGTGTCGGGCATAGAGTTAGAACAGATGAAAGAACAAATCTTGACTTTCCAAACATCTTTAGCATAAAATACCAGGGTGAGGTGAGGGAAGTGGAAGGAGGAGACAAATGTGGATTCCGGGATGATGTATGTTCACTGGTGAGGGCTCCTCCGTCTGCAGCGGAGCGAGAGACAGGAAGTGGTCAGACACATTCCAGGGACCACAGGTTACCACCAGGAAATCATACTCTGGGGGAAACCTTTTGTTCTCTTAAGCAACGGAGGAAAAAAAAAAAAAGTGGGAACACTGGGTCCTTGGAACTTCTGCTCATGGAATTGGACCAAGCCCTGTGGCTGTGCCCCAGGCCAAGGCCTCCAGTTACAAAGCAGAAAGGGAGGGAGGGGAGAGGAGCGCACCACTGTCTCCCGTCTCCCTCTTCATGCCACCTTCCCATAGTCTGTTCACTCAGGGGCCCATATCTGGCCAGCTCCCTGCACCTTCAACAGTGAGGGGAGGTCACCATTGACCAAGCATCTCGGCCAGAGCAGCACCTGCCACCAGGGACCCCAGGAATGCCATCTGGAGTTACTAAAGGCATTAGGACACTTTATACAACGGTGAAACCCAGAGCGGAGTCTGGCTGAGGAGTGAACGTACCAGGTCAATGTGAACAGGCGGGCCACCCAGTGTGGCCCAGTGACTAGGGAGTGGGGGAGTGAATGGATCCACAACTCCCCTGAGGAGGTGCTTTGATTCCACGTTACCAGGCAACCCTCTGGCAACCAGACTCCCCTGAAGTGGCAAGGAGGTGGAGCCTGCCCTGAGCAGTCCAGCCTACCCACCTCTGCACTTGGTGGTGCACTTCTCAGTGTCAATCTACAAGCTGGCATTCCAAGAGTCTCTAGAGAGTTCAAGTACTATTGATTGATACCTACTCTCTCCCAGGTACAGTACTTGGAGCTGACACTACAGAATGAATGGACATGATCTTCCATATAATGGAGCCAATATTCTTGTCAGGAAGACACAAATAGAAATATTCTTGTCAGGAAATATTCTTGTCAGGAAATACACAAATAGAAAATAAAGAGAGAATATAACTTCACAGAGTGATGAGTGTTACCAAGTGAAGTAAAATGGGAAAAATATCTGCAAATTACGTATCTAATAAAGATCTAAAATCCAGAATATATAAAAATTATAATAACCAATGTCACTCCAATAAATTCAATAATATGGTTAAAAAAAATCCAACCTATTATTACTCAGTAATAAAAAGACAGATATAACCCTGAGCAAAGGTTCTGATTGACATTTCTCCAAAGAAGATACAGAAATGACAATAGCACATGAAAATATGCTCAACATCGTTAGCCATCAGGGAAATGCAAATTAAAACCATAATGAGATGCCATTTCTAATAACAACAACAAGAAGAACTATTGGTGAGGATGTAGAGGAATACACTGCTGGTGAGAATATAAAATGGGGCAGTTTCTTTGGTTACCATATGATCCAAAAATTCCATTCTTAGGTCTGTATCCAAGAGAATTAACAACATATGTAAAAAATACATACATACATACATACATACACACAAAAAAGTATGTCCACCCAAAAACTTGGATACATCTACAACATGGATGCACCTTCAAAACATTGTTAATTGAAAAAAACCAATTGCCAAAGGTTACATATTATATGATTTTATTATGTGATATGTCTAGAATAGCATATTATAGACAAGCAGGTCAGTAGTTGACAGGGGCTGTGGGGAGTAAGGCAGTAGGAAGGAGAAAGGGTTGGAGAGTACCTGCTAATGGGTAGGGGATTTCTTTTATGAAAGATATAAAGGCTTTAAAATTAGTTTATGGTGATACTAAAAAAAAAAAAAAAAAGAAAGAAAAAAGGAATCTATAATTTAATCATGTGAACTTGGAATGCACTAAAAGCCCTAGCCGGTTTGGCTCAGTGGATAGAGCATTGGCTTGTGGACTGAAAGGTCCCAGGTTTGATTCCGGTCAAGGGTACATGCCCAGGATGTGGGCTGGATCCCCAGTGGGAGGGCGTGCAGGAGCCGATCAATGATGCTCTCATCATTGAAGTTTCTATCTCTCTCCCTCTCCCTTCCTCTCTGATTAATAAATAAATAATGTTAAAGGCACTAAAGCTGTGTATGTGCCTCTTTCAGCTTGTTCCACGGCCCCGGTCCCATCCTGAGTTATAGGATCTGGAAGTTACAGGCCAAAGGAGCGATGTACATGATGGAGCTGAAATGGAAGACCATGCACCAGCATGAGCCCAGGCTGCAGCTGGGACAAATCCAGGCTTCCTGTGTCCAGGAGCACACGTGCACAGGTTCCTGTCTGCACTCCATGACATGAGAACAAACGGAAACAGACAAAGAGCTTGGGTCACCACTTTGACTGCTGCTCCACTGGCCAGTACTTCTCCAGTCACTACCCATGGCTCTCCCGGGCCATTCCCAGGATTGGCGCCCCTTGGGTTACCCACAAACTGAACTGGCTTATTCTAGAGGGCGCTGTCCAATAGAAATACAATGTGAGTCCTATATGTCACTGTAAATGTTCTAGTAGCCATATTTTTTTAAATGTAAAAAGAAGCAGGTGAAATTAATTGTAAAGTTTTATCTAACCAAATATGTAAAAATATTTTCATTTTAATATGAAATCAATAAATTATTAATGAGAAATGTTAGTCTTTTTTCCATACTAACTCTTCCAAATCCAATGTTTGCTTTCTTAGCTTATCTCGATTAAGACTAGCCACATTTTAAGTGTTCAATAGTCACCTTAGCTAGTGGCTGTCAAATTGGACAGAAGTTCTAAATCTGGATCATGTTGCAAAATGAGTATTTTCAAAGGAATTATATAAAAATATCAATTTATTAATAAGAAGAATTGAGGAGGAAACCAAAGGCTACGGTAGTGAGGTGAAGTTCCTGGCCCACGGCCTGAAGTTGCGCAGTGGCAGTGCGTAAGAGCAGAGAGTCTGTAGTCACGTGAGAATTATCTTCTCAAGGCTGACACTAAGATGACAAGAGATAACCTTGGGAACTGATGGGCATGGTGCCCAGCTTATATCCACTACTCACACACCAAGAAACATCAGCTCCACCATCATGATGCTATTAACACTAACACCACCCGGGGGGGGGGGGGGCCGCGAGTAAATGGGAAGAAGGCAGAGACCACTTGGGATCATCAACTGGGGAAACCATGACTTGGAGACCTTTTACCCAGACCACCCCCAGAACAGCCTGAACACTCACCGGACTGGTAGGTGAGGACACCATGAGGCTCAGTCCCGCTCCGTCATCCACCGAGAGCCTCTGCTGGCCATCCCCTTGGCCGGCTGTTCTCACAGGACTAGAAGGCTGCTGGTCTGAAGTGCTCCTCCAAGTGACAGCTGGGGCAATGCCCAGATGCTGCAAGCCCAGGATGCCGGGAGCCAGGGAAAGCGGTTCCTGCTTGTGGCCACCATCTGCAGCCCCGAAGGCTGCTCGGGCAGGGAGGGGCTCTGCAGGCGCCTCAACGTGCAGGTGTGTGCTGGTGTCGATGCAGAGGCCGTGGAGGGAGAGGGAGGCCTGTAGTGTGGGAATCTCCGTTTCTCGGCTCAGTCCGTTGGTTGGCACAGAGTTTTCCTGGGCTTTGTTGAATTCAGACAACACCCTAGAAGTTTTTAAACAAAGAAACCTGTGTGACAGGTTGTCAGCTAGAATGCCCATGGCTACTGGGACAGTGGTAAGAATGAAAAACTGCTGTTTTGTTGTGATTTAAGAAGCAACACTTTTTTAAAAACAAAATCCTCACGTGAAGATATTTTTTCCATTGCTTTTCAGAGGGAATGAAAAGGAACAAGTGCAGGGAAAAAGAGTGAAAGAAAGAGAGGGAGGGAGAGAGAGAAAGAGAGAGAGAGATTGATTTTGATTGACGTCGACTGGTTGCTACAAGAACCCAGGGCTGACAGACACTCAAATCGAGTCACACTGGCCAGGGTGAAACAACACTCTGACAGCCCCCTCCTCTGACACTCACCACCATCCTTTCTCTGCAGCTGGTAAGTGAGCTGTGGAGCCCAGGGTCTGAGGTGAGAAGCTCACACAGCAGAGAAAAGGAATGGTGTGATCGGGAACTGATGGCCTTGACCCGCTGCACAGGTTCCCTGTGGGCTGTAGAGTTTGCCCAGCCAAACAAATGGCTTGTGGGCAGTCATTTCCCAAGACCCCGAGCGTCTCAGAGCTGGGCTCCCCAGCGGCACCAGGGCCCCAGGACTCTAGTCCCTGGGACATGGACTTAGCTGAAGTGAGGACCCACCTTGTTCCTGGAACAACATCTGGGTAGTAGGGTTGGTGTGAGGTGCAAGGCTGGTCCACCTCAGAGCTAGGTTGGCTATGGAGTCAGAGAAGGCTCCCGTTCCCAGAAATTGCTGCTGGAGGTCATTGTACACAAGGTGTGAACGTGTGCATACAAGTACACATGGGGTGGGCTCCTGCTCACTCCTCCCAACGGGATTGGCTCTTCCTGCCCCCAAATGGTGCTTTTGGGGCTAGAGGAAACCAGTGTTACTGCCTTTGTGTACACACACACACACACACACACACACACACACACACACACACAAACGCACACGTGCCCGCAAAAACATACTTCTGGGCCTTCTAGAATGTGCCCTGGCCAGTGGCTTCTGTCCTCCCTCTCCTGAGGTTTCTGGGAATCTAAGTTCCACTTCTGAAGTAAGTCTATTTGCTGGCTCCTCTTCTGCTGATGAACCCACTTGAGTCCGTCGTGGGTAGATGCAGGTTCTGATGACAATAAAACTGTCTGGAGCCCAAGACACTGCACACATCTTCCCTAATGGCTTAAACTGGGTCTAGAAGACACATCAAACTCTCCTTCCTATGGGATTATGGAAACTAAGACTTTAGAACTCAAGTTTTTACTTTCTGGCTGAACTCTGCTCTTATCTACACAATACCATCTTAATCCAGAACAACAATTCAAGACATTCTAGTCAAGAATAGGTGACCAACCCATACATTCATGGGTAACTGATTTTCAACATAGGCGCCAAGACATTTTAATGGGGAAAGAATAGTCTTTTCAACAAATGGTGCTGGGATAAGTGAATAGTTCCAAGCAGAAGAATGGAGTTGGACTCCTATCACATCATGTTAAAAAATTAACTCAAAACGGACCAAAGACCTAAAACTCTTAGAAGCAGGCAGGTGTAAGTCTTCCTATCTTTGGGTCAGGCAATGGTTTCTTAGCTATGACATCTACTGCATAAGCAGCCAATAAAGAAACAGATAAATTGGACTTCATAAAAATAAAAACTTCTGTGCTTTAAAGAATATTACCAAGAAAGTGAAAAGACAACTGAGAATAGGAAAAATATTTGCATATTTTATATGCAGATACTATCATATTTCTGATAAAGCTTTAGTATCCTAAATATATAGCACTCTTTCTTGTTATCCTCACCTGACGACATGTTCATTTAAAAATCTATTTTTATTGATTTCAGAGAGGAATGGAGAAGGAGATAGAAACATCAATGATGAGAGAGAATCATTGATCGGCTGCCTTCTGGGGATCGAGACTGCAACCCAGGCAAATGCTTCTGACCAGAATTGAACCTGGGACCCCTCAGTCCACAGGCTGACACTCTATCCACTGAGCCAAATAAGCCAGGGCTATAGATTTTTTAAAATTCTCACCTGAAGATATGTTCACTGATTTTTTTTTTTTTATTAGAGAGAGAGAAATGTGAGAGAAAACCATTGATCAGTTGCCTCCCATATGTGCCCTGACCAGGATCGAGCCCACAACCTTTTGGTGTACAGGATGTTGCTCCAACCATCTGAGCCACACTGGCCAGGGCTATATAGCATTCTTACAACTCAGTAATAAAGACAGCCCAATTTAAACATAGGCGAAGATATGAGTAGACATTACTCCAAAGAAGACCTATACTTAGCCAATAAGTGCATAAAAAGATGCTCGATATCATTAGACAGTAGTGAAGTACAAATGAAAACTGCAATGAAACCTACTTTATGCCCACTAGGATGGCTATAATTAAAAAAACTGCCCATTAACTGATAAGTAGCTAAATAAATTGTGGTATATCCATATAAGGAAACATTATTCAGTCATGATACATGCTGCAACATGGATGAACCTTGAAACATACTATGTAAAGTAAGTCACAAAAGGCCGTGTATTATATGACTCCATTGACATCAAATGTCCAAAATGGGTAAATGCCTAGCTAATGGACAAGGGGCTTCCTTACAGGGTGGTAAAGTGTTCTTAAACTAGATGTTGCACAACTTTGTACATATACTAAAAGCGACAGAACTGTATACTTTAAAATGGTGAGTTTTATGGTATGTGAGTCATGTCTCAGTAAACAGAAAGGTGACCTAACAGAGAAAGGTGTAAATGTGCTGGTGGAATAGTTTGGAAGACGCAGGTGGGTGCTGGTTCCTGCTCAATGGCCTCACTCTGAAAACAAGCTAAAAGTCCAGGAGTGCGACCTGCAGGGAACAGGGATTGCTGAGTTCTGGGAGCAAAGGGCTAGTCTCCACTGGCAAAGGAGGAAGGAACATCTGCTGACCAGCTGTATGTGTCCAAACTACTGTGACAGACTGGGTCACATTATGAAATGAACCAGGGAGACAGATTTTAGGGTATGTTTTCCCATTGGTTTTTTAAAAATATATTTTAATTGATTTCGGAGAGGAAGGGAAGAGAGATATAGAAACATCAATTATGAGAGAGAATCATTGATTGGCTTCATCCAGCATGCCCCCTACTGGGGATCAAGTCTGCAACTTCGGGCATGTGCACTTGACCCGAATTGAAACCGGGACCCTTCAGTCTGCAGGCTGATGCTCTATCCACTGAGCCAAATAGGCCAGGGCCCCAATGATTTTTAGAGTGGAAGGGAACGGGAGAGACACAGAGAGAAACACATTGATTTTGCCTCCTGAACATGCCCCAACTGGGCCTGAGATCAAGCATGCTACCGAGGTATGTTCCCTTAACCAGAATCGAACCCAGGACCCTTCAGTCTGCAGGCCGACACTACCTACTGAGCCAAACCAGCTAGGCAAGGCGGACAGATTTTTATATCCCCTGTGAAGTCCCTGCTCTTCGTGGGCTCCTGGGAGGCAGAGTAGTGAGTGATTGATTGTGTAATAAATTAGAGCTTCCACCAAACCAAAATCAAAGTCAAGGTGAAATCAAGTTCACAGGGCCTCATCAGAATCAGTCCTGGTCTCAGGATCCAATGAGAATAAGAGGTAGATTCCTCAACTGGAAAAAGTGCAAGAATGAGATTTTGAAGAAAAGGCAAAAGAAAGAAAACTTTGAATAAAATGCAACATACAAATGCAACAGCCCTATCCGGGTAGGTCAGTTGTTGCTTAAAGCATTGTCCTGATATAACAAGTCTGTGGGTTCGATCCCCAATCAGGGCTCATAAAAGAATCAACCAATAAATGCATAAATAAATGGAACAGCAAAATCGATGGTTCTATTGCTTTCTCTCTCTAGAAAAAGAAAGAGAGAAAAAAAAAGAACTGAAATTGCTAGTGTTTCCACTTCTCTCTGGTTCAGGGCAGTGGTGATCAAAAACGTTTGCTCAAAAAATTTCTTTGCACATTCACTTAAGAAACAATCTTTAAAAAGCACATGTATTCTATGCATATGCATCTGTGTGTGTGTGTGTGTGTGTGTGTGTGTGTGTGTGTGAGTGTGTATGTGTATGTGTGAAATAAATAAAAAGCATGGCGTGGAGATTCTGGATGGCCACCTGGGAAAGAACCGCCACCAGTGGCTCTGAGCCTGTGGTTTCTTGCACAGAGATGGCTCTGAGCCTGTGGTTTCTTGCACAGAGATGGCCGCATGGTCTAAGGATCATTTCCCACGAGGGAAGGCCTCATGACAGCTGGTAAATGTGACTAACCAGCTACTCACAGCAGCACTTACAGAGACAAGCAGTAGCACTCAGGTCATCGGTTCTCAGGAGCCTTAGCAGTAAGTGACAGTAGCACCACCTACTGGGCACTCACCGCATGTCAGGCACCGCTCCGCTGGAAGCACTGTCTTAACTCACTTCATCTTTCTGGCATCCCTCTGAGACATCCTCAGCGCCATTTTACAGATGAGGACGTGAATGTCGGAAAGACTGAGTAGTTTGCCCAAGGTCAAAAAGCTGGTTAAGGAAGACTCGGGTCTGGCTTCCGAGTCTACATTTTCAACCATTAGAATGTACCCAGGCTTCTCTGTGATAATTACAATTCACACTCAACAAACACAAAAACAAACTGTAATGTGGATTCAGGGAAATATTATATTAATACATTTCATTTTGAATGTTAATGGTTTGTACTTTTTTATGTTTAATTTGTAGGGTTTTTTTTTTTTTTTTTTTTTTTAAACACCTGTTTTTATTGATTTCAGAGAGAGGACAAGAGAGAAAAATCAATCGGTTGCCTCCCACACGCACCCCAATCAGGGACTAAATCCTCTTTAACGTGGACATGTGCCTTGACCAGGAATCGAACTGGCAACTTTTTGGTGCACAAGATGCCGCTCAACTAACTGGGCTATCTGGCTGGGCTAGTTGTAGATGTTCTGATTTTACAACTTTAAGAGGTATATAAGCACAAGGTATCTATGCGTACCTTTTAAGTTACTTAAAGTAATATAGCTTAAGTGAACTCTCAACTGATGGTGAGACTCTTTACCCTTAAAGCACTCCAAGAAATGCTAGGATCTGTGGGTGCTCAAAGACTGCAGCCCAGCTCTAAGAAGGCTGCATATAGGTGTTTGCACATCTGTGTGTGTAGTGCATGCTGGGTCTTCACACTAATGTTGGTCTGTACGTCCTGACCCTCTTCCCTTGGGTTAGTTCCCCTTTAACCACACAGGGTGGATGGCCACTGGCTCAATGACCTTACGCTGGAATTTTCCAATCACAAGATTCATGAAAGATAAAGAAAAGACATGTGACGAAGAGAAGGCTGGCTGGTCTGTGGGAGGAGGGAGAGGCAACAAATGGCTGAGACATGTGAATGCGCCTACGTCATGTCACAGGCCCAGCGTGTTGGGGCAGGGCCTGCTCCTTTCCAACACGTTCTGGCTAAAGCCTTCCGTGTGCCATGTGAAAACTCTACCTCACACACTCAGTGCTCAGAAGCTCTTCCTGGTGCCTACCAGACATTCCTATGTGAGCAGCTCACTGACAGGCATCTCATCTGATCCTCAACCAGCCCTCTGAGGCGTCCTCCATTTTATTTATTTTTTTCAATATATTTTTATTGATTTTTAAGAGAGGAAGGAAACTGGAATCGGTTTGGCTCAGTGGATAGAGCGTCGGCCTGAGGACTGAAGTGTCCCAAGTTCGATTCCGGTCAAGGGCATGTACCTTGCTTGCGGGCACATCCCCAGGAGGGGGTGTGCGGAAGGCAGCTGATCGATGTTTCTCTCTCATCCATGTTTCTAACTATTCCTCTCTGTAAAAAAATCAATAAAATATATTTTTTTAAAAAGAAATACAATTTTAAAATCTGCATATGCATATTTGTTATAGATGTATTTAGAAACACTGGAAGACCAAGCAAGAAAATAATTATGGTTATAGGGTTGGGAAATACTTTTTAGGGTTTTTTTTTAACCATAAAAATAGACTATTATTAAAAAATTAATGTTAAAAAGCCTGAATGAAGAAGGCTCTGCTCTGGCCAGTGTGGCTCAGTTGGTTGAGCATTGTCCCTCGCATCAAGAGGTCAAAGGTTCAATTCCCAGTCAGGACACATGCCTCGGATGCAGGCTTGATCCCCGCTCGGAGGCTGGTGGATGTTTCTCATTGATGTTTCTCTCCCCCTCTCCCTTCCTCTCTCTAAAATCAATAAAAACAGCATGGCTGGTGTGGTTCAGTGGTTGAGTGTTTACCTATGAACCAGGCGGTCATGGTTCAATTCCCGGTCAGGGTACATGCCGGGGTTGTGAGCTTGACCCCCGGTAGGGGCATGCGGCAAGCAGCCAATCAATGATTCACTCTCATCATTGATATTTCTATCAGTCTCTCCCTCTCCCTACTTCTCTGAAATCAAGAAAAATACTTAAATAAAATCAATAAAAATGCATTAAAAAAAAACCAAAAAAAAAAAAACAGAAGAAGAAGGCTCTGCCCAGGTTCCCTTCTCTAGTCAATGTTGTCGCTCCGCATATTCCTTCCCACGCCTTGGGCTTGGCCTATTTGTCCACCACCTCCTCCAGGCAGCACTCAGGTTTGCAGCCTCTGGGAGCTCACAGAAGACCATCCTTTTGCATCACGCTGTACCGTATCTTTTAGAAGCTGTAAATATAGCCTTGAACGATTAGTTCCCTTCTCTCCAGATGGTGTAAAATAGTTGTCTTCTCTGAGCACCAGAGATGAAATGACTTGTCAAAGGTTGCCCGGGAGCAGCACAATTCACCATAGCTAAGATTTGGAAACAGCCCAAGTGCCCATCAGCAGATGAGTGGATTAGAAAACTGTGGTGCGTCTACACAATGGAATACTATGCTGCAGTGAAAAAGAAGGAACTCCTACCGCTTGCAACAGCATGGATGGACCTGGAGAGCATTATGCTAATCGAAATAAGCCAGTCATAGAAAGATAAATACCACATGATCTCACTCATTTTTGGAATATAATGAACAACATACACTGATGAACAAAAAACATATCCAGAGACAGAGAAGCATCAATCAGACCGTCAAACCTAGAGGGAAGGTAGGGGAGGGCATGGGTAAGGGGAAGAGATCAACCAAAGGACGTGTATGCATGCATATAAGCCTAACCAATGGACACAGACACCAGGCGGGGGGCAATAGGGAGGTAAGGGCACATATGTAATACCTTAATCGGTAAAGTGTGTGTGTGTGTGTGTGTGTGTGGCGGGGGTCTCCCAGGAGCGCTGTCTAAATCCGTTTCCTCACTGCCCCCATTTTGCCTCCAGTTACAGCTCCCAGCAACCTCAGACCCTGAGGAAGACATGTTCCCCTTGCCTTGCCTTATGCCCTAACAGAGTTCAGTGTGCGGTGACAGGCAATCACATGCTACAGGGAGGGAGGGAAGGAGGAAGAGGAGAAAGAGAAGGAAGGAAGCAGAAGGGAGGGGAGCAGTGGGACTCACTCGTGCAGGGACGGGTCTGAGTCATCGGCATTCGCTGCGCCCAGGTCCGAGTCGTAGGACATGGGTTCCTCGGAGTGGTCGGGACTCTTGGAGCCGTTCTCCGGGAGCAGGAGGCTGTCGGAGTTGAGGCTGCAGGACAGCTGGGATGAACTGGCCGTGTCCAGGCTGAGGGAGGAGGCGGTGAGCTGCCTGTGCCGCTGGATCTTATGGCCCGAGTGCTGGACCTCGATGTCCTCTGAGCCCGAGGAGTGGGAGATGGAGTCCAGGGACTCCTTCCGCTGCAGTTCCGTCCCCGAGGCAGTGACAGGGTCGAGCTCGGAGAACGGGCAAAGCCCAGCGAGGGCCAGCGGGGTGAGCGTCCACTCGTTGAGGATGGAGGACTTGTAGGAGAGCTCGAAGGTCAGGGCCGTCAGCCCCTGCAGGAAGCTGAGCAGGAACTCGCTCTCCTCGGGGTCCCGGAGCAGCGCGCAGGGCTGGTAGTACTGGCTCAGGCGGGCCGGCTCCTGCAGCAGCAGCTTCAGGTAGCACTCCATGAGGCCGTCGTTGAGGGCCAGCCGCAGCCAGGCCCGGCAGCGGCCCACGTCCGTGCTGACGAAGACCAGGTGCTCCAGGTCCGAGATGGTGTGCCTGGGGAGGGGAGAGATGGATTCTGTCAAGAGATGACCCTGGGTCACGGAGACGTCGTTGTATAGACTGGTTGGCAAGAGCCAATACTCATGCGACGGGGGAAAGACGTGGTCGCTTCCTCCGCCCAGGTAACTGGCGTTGAGGGGCACCTCCGTGGTGTGGGTACTGGTGATCATTTCGGATTGGAGTGAAAATGATGCCACAGAATGGGCAGTTTCTGAGTGGGGCCTTGTGGGATTCAAGAGGGAAAGCTAGGAGGACCTCATAGGCACATGAAACTAACAGCAGGCAAGGCATGGAGGGTAGGAAAGCCACAGACCGGTGACAGGAGTGGGGAGCACTGGCACCACAGTGTGGGGAGGAGGAGGTGATCTGGTGGCAGAGCCGGGAAATGCAGGTTTTTGAGAATCCAACTGGAGAGGCAGCGTGGGGCAACGGTCCCCTCACTTGGCTGTGCCCCGAATCACCTGGGAACTTGGTCAGGATACAGATTCTGGGGCCCCCGCTGAGCGAACCGGACTCCAGGCTAGCATTTGGGAGCCCATGGGCTATAGGTTTTTGCAGAGGAAGGTGACCTGACCTCAGCTATGCAGACTTTAGGGTGGGTTGCCCTGGATAAGATCAGACCCAGATGTACCAAACTCAGTTCCTGAACGCCTCGATCTGATTAAATGCCACCCAAGCTCTAGACACATGAGCACCTGCTGCTTTCCCACACAGATGAAGAGCTCCGTGCCCCGCCCTCCAACGCTCCCCCCCGGGCTGCTCTCACTTGTGGGTGATGGTCTTCAGGAGGGGCCAGAAGACAGGCTGAGGCAGAGGCTTCTGGTTGGCACTCTTCTTCCTTTTCCCGCCGGCCTCTGCGCGGATGTGCTTGGCGTGCAGGCCGTGGATAAACACGGCCTCCAGGGCGCTGCACATGGTGTTGGCATCTCCGTCCTCGCTGGTGACCACTGTGTCCGAGGAGGCATACTGCTTCTGCAGCGCCTTCATGGATCCCACTAGCTTCTTCTTGATGACCTAGGCGGGGTCAGAGGTAACACAGGCCTTCAAAATACCCCATGGTGACCCGTGGAACAAAATACATGCACAACCACACACGCACACACCTGTATGTATGTATCTGTATGTGCCTCCTGCAAAACTAGCACATGCTAATTATAGAAAATAAAGATAAAAGCCTACAGAAGTAAAGGAAAATCACACACACCATCCAGAGATACTATTATTTTTTGCAAAGATATTTGTATATCTCTTTTTTTTTTTTTTTTTTTTTTTTTTTTTTTGCAGGATAGTTTGATTTTTAGAGACAGAGGAAGAGAGAGAGAGAAACATCGATGTGAGAGTGCAACATCCATCAGCTGCCTCCAGCATGCCCGCTACCAGGGATCAAGCCCAAAACCCAGGCACGTGCCCTTGGCCAGTAATTGAACCAGTAACCTCCTGATGCTTGGGATGACCCCAAACCAACTGAGCCACCCTGGCCAGGGCTCTTTTTTGTTTTTTAAACCAAGTGTCAATGAACGGATAGCCATGTATACCTTATGTTTAAGTACTGGCTCCATCACTAGTAGTGGCGATGGGACTTGGATAAATCCATCTAGGACAGAGGTAAGGTGTTCCACCTTAGTTACGTGACCAAGATTCCAGACAGAATCAAGAAGCTAAGAGGCAACAGTGCTGCTTTAGAACAATAAAAAGACCAGCAAACAGGAGTATGGTCTACATTCAGAAAAATCAGGTTTAGACTCAGCTGGAGAACCTCAGACATTTCACCTAACCTCTCTGAGCCTTGCTTTCCTCACCTGTTAAATGGAAAGAATACTTCCTGATCTGCAGCATGGAGGATTCCTCTTTTCACTCAACCCTGAGTCCTTAATAAATGTTTGTTAAATGAATAAATTACAAAATATACAAGTCTTCTGGAAATACAGAGTAAAGAGAGTTCTGTCAAAACTACCCAAGTAGCCTGGCCAGCATGGCTCAGTGGTTGAGCCTTAACCTATGAACTAGAGGGTCATGGTTCGATTTCTGGTCAGGGCACATGCCTGGGTTGCGGCAGTTCAATCCCCAGTGTGGGGCATGCAGGAGGCAGCCGATCAATGATTTCCTCCCATCACTGATGTTTTTATCTCTCTCCATCTCCCTTCCTCTCTAAAATCAATAAATATATGTGCATATATATTTAAAAATTACCCAATTATTTGGAAAAGGACTGAAAGGGATTGAAAAAAAAAACAAAAAAAAAAAAAAAACACAACAAAAAACTGGTTTAAACCCTAACTGGTTTGGCTCAGTGGATAGGCCAACACTCTATCCACTCAAACAGAGCGAAGGGTCCCAGGTTCAATTCCAGTCAAGGGCATGTATCTTGATTGCAGGCACATCCCCAGTAGGGGGTGTGCAGGAGGCAGCTGATTGATGTTTCTCTCTCATTAATGTTTCTAACTCTCTCTCCTTCTCCCTTTCTCTTTGTAAAAAATCAATAGAATATATTTTTTTTAAATACTTTTAAAAAACTGGTTTGAATCGTTAGGTGATAGGATTCTGGATAAATATTATATTGTTAGTTAAATGATCCGTTTTTATAACAACTTTCATGAGACATAATTTACATAGCATAAAATACTCTCATTTAAAGTATACAGTTCAATGGTTTTTAGTATTCACAGAATTGTGCAACCATAGCCACTATCTAATTTTAGAACCTTTTCATTTCCCTAAAAGGAAATACTGTACCCACTGGCAGTCACTCCCTATTCCCTTCCCCCAAACCCTGGCAAACACGAATCTACTTTCTCTCTCTATGGATTTGCCTGTTCTGGACATCCTATCTAATAAAATAGCAATATGCAAATTAACCATCACCCGCTCCACGAGTCATGCCCACCAACCAATCAGAGTGAGTATGCAAATTAACCTCAACCAAGATGGCTGCAGCCACAGAGGTTTGAGTTTCTCTGGCAACAGAAGAAGCCAAGCTTTCCATCTGCCCTAGCAGGCCTAAGCCTCCACTCCAGGCTACAAAGTTTAAATTGTAGAAAGTAAATATATCCCTGATATCAGGGCCTCCGCTTGGGTTGCTGGGAGGTGTGGCCGGCCTGCAAACCACCACAGGCCCCTCGCTCAGGCTGCCCCACGCCCCAAGGGAACCCCCACCCTGATCTGGTACACCCTTCAGTGCAAACCAGCTGGTCCCCACCCGTGCACCAGGCCTCTATCCTATCTAATAAAAGAGTAATATGCAGATTGACCATCACTCTAACACACAAGATGGCTGCCCCCATGTGGTCGAAGATCCTGCCCCCAGGTAGACACAAGATGGCCACCACAAGATGGCCAGCAGGGGAGGGCAGTTGGGAGGGACCAGGCCTGCAAAGGAGGGCAGTTGAAGGCTATCAACCCTGAAGGTGAGGGCAGTTAGGGGTGACCAGGCCAGCAGAGGAGGAAAATTGGGAGCAAACCGGCTGGCAGGGGAGCAGTTAGACATCAATCAGGCTGGCATGGGAGTGGTTAGGGGGTGATCAGGCTGGCAGGCAGAAGCGGTTAGGGGCAATCAGGAAGGCAGACAGGTGAGCAGTTGGGAGCCAGCAGTCCTGGATTGGGAAAGGGATGTCTGACTGCCCGTTTAGGCCCGATCCCGGATCAGGCCTAACTGGGTAGTCGGACATCCCTCGAGCAGTCCCAGATTGGAGAGGGTGCAGGCTGGGCTGAGGGACACCTCCCCGCCCCCATGCACGAATTTTGTGCACTGGGCCTCTATTTTCATATAAATGGAATCATACACTAGGCAGCCTTTTGTGTGTCTGGCTTCTTTCACTTTAGCATGTTTTTTTTTTTTTTTTTTTTTTTCATTTTAGCTTCTTTTCCTCTATGTGGTAGCATTCTTTATGATTCAGTACTTCATTCATTTGTATGCCAAATAATATTCCATTGCATGGATATACCGCATCTTATTTATCCATTCATAGATTAATAGACATTTGGGTTGTTCCCACCTTTTGGCTACAACACTGCTATTGTGGACGAAAGGGGCCACATGCAGACCTGACAGGCTCAGGAAGGCCTGCATGGCGGTCTTGCAAACTCTAAGACCTAAAGTCACCACAAAGGATGGTCTGAAATGAAACTTTAACTGAAAGTAGTTATGGCGGGTAGTCTGTCCTAGGCCAATACCTTCCCTGACAAAGTCAATCTTTATTTTAACTGAGCTTATTATCTTTTTGCATCTATGATAACATAGCATTGTAATGTCTGGGTGGCTTGTAACTTCCCCTTTTCTGGATCCCTCAGGGCACAACAAATAGCACCAGGGCAGAAACCATAAATTCCCTTTATTATTATCGAGTTAATTGTTGACTGTTAACTATCCTGTACCCACCTAAGTAATGTGTCTATCATTTTACTTTTTATCCAATCCCAAAGGTCTCCCCCCCGACCCACTTTTGCTTTCTTTCTCCCACCCCTCTAACCTACCACCAATGGATTTCATGTAACCTACCTACATCTCCTCCTTTGATTGCAATGTATAAAAATAGATGAAAAACGGGCTCTTGGGACCATTATCCCAGTTCGTTGAGATTCTACTTTCCAGCAATTGCCAACAGTTAGGCTCAGATAAACTCACAAAAATTATTTACCAGGATTGAATGTTTTTACATTAACACTATGAACATTCACCCACAATATTAGGGGCAAAATAGAATATTGGGGACTAGCTCTAGTTATAAAAAATATTAATCACACTCTATTAACTGTGATTGCCTTGATCCGATTAAAGAAAGGACATTCTACCCTGGCTGGGAGTTGTACGCCCCAGGGAGGCAACTTTGGAATCCCTTCCATTCTCATTTAAGAATTGTTTATTATCATGGAAATATTAATAACCGCATTGCCCAAACAATGGAGTCCTGCCCCACCCCCCATTGCCTACTTCCCCTTGCCTGTAATTCCTACTTCCCCATGTAATCTTTGTCCTCCCCCATATAAGCAGCTGGCTTATGGAGGGGGAGGGCTGGAGAGCAGATTTTTGTGGGTGACCTGCTGCTCTCCCATATTACCTGCATTATTGGAATAAATGCTCATACATGATTCAACCCTGTCTCTACTTAATTGGCTCAAGTAGTGACAGGCAGCACTTGTTGTCCAGTTTCAACAAGGTTTTGTGTAGACACATGTCATATGTTTTCAGCTCTAATGGTGTGTATCTAGAAGTGGAATTGCTGGGTCACATGAAGCACTATGTTTAACTTCTTGAGGAACTAGCAAACTGTATTCCACAATGACTGCACCATTTTACATCCCACTGGCAATGGACGAGGGTTCCAATTTCTCCATGACCCCACCAACACTTACTGTCTGACATTTTGGTTGTAGCCATCGTAGGGAATGTGAAGCACTATCTCATTATGGCTTCAATTTGCATTTACCTAGTCTATAATAATAAAAGCATAATATGCTAATGAGACCAGACAGCCGAACGACCTTCCAGATGTCCTACCAGACGTCCTTCTGGAGGGCCGAGCCCCTTGCACGAATTTCGTGCATCAGGTCTCTAGTCCTTTATAATAAAAGCCTAATATGCAAGTCAACCGAATGGTGGAACAACCGGTCACTATGACGTGCACTGACCACCAGGGGGCAATGCTCATTGCAGGAGCTGCCCCCTGGTGGTCAGTGCGCTCCCACAGGGGGAGCACTGCGCAGCCGGAGCCTCTCCTGCCTCTGCTGCAGGCGGGCAGTAAGGAGCGAGGGGCGAGGGGCTGCGGGAGGGTGCAGACGGCCTGGGGGCCTCCCCACGCCCCCTGCACTAATTTTGTGCACTGGGCCTCTAATGTCTGATAATAATGAGCATCTTTTCATGTACTTACTGGCCACTTACACATCTTCTCGGGAGGAATCCTTCATTTTCAGATAACTTTTATTAAATCCCAACTGTTTTCTGGTAAATTCTCATTTTATCACCAATAAGATGGTCTCGAGAGGGCAGAACTTCCTCAGGGCTTGCTTCTGCTATAACTTTTTTCTCAGCCCGAGGCCTCTCTTTCCAGACCGTGTCCACACATTTCAAAGTCGGGAAAGCCAAAGAAATGGCTGTTCTGGGCACCTCCTTCCCCTCTCTGATCCTCCCTTGTCACCTACCGAGATGGCATCCCGGGGGTCCACTCCATTCTCCACCACTGACAGCATTTCCACTCAGGCAGCAGCTCCCAGGGAAAACCACATGACACCTGTGGAGACAGATGGCAGCCAGGTGAGCAAGCTCCCAACTCACCACCCCAGCCAACCCTAGGCCCCCAGGCAGCCAGCAGGCGGTCAGCCCATTTTACTGCAACCGAAAGAAAGGCCTCGGAATACAAAAGTGAAAAGCTGGAAGTGGGTTTTAAGGGAGGAAACAAAGAAGGATAAAGTCCGAGGGCCTGGATCTTGGGAGGGAAGGAGCCCTGTGTGCCAGGGGCAGGCCTGCCCCAAGGAGTGGTGGAAAGTACCCTTAACGCCACACCAAACGCAGGGATGAAAGACTGGTGATTTATACACAGAGCGGAGGGTGCAGGGCACGCTGCAGCTGTCTGTGAGAGAACCTGCAGGGGCCAGGAAGCAGGCCTCACAGGTCACAGGCAGGGCCGGGGCCTTGCACTCACCCCCTCTCATGCCTGTCTCAGCCTGGTGTCTGCCGCACAGCAGTGAACAGTGCAAGTGAAACTGTTGTAGGCAGTTAGACAAGAGCAGGGCAAGGACGATGGGCCGGGTACAGAAGGTCACCAGGGTGCAGAGTCCAAGATGCCCAGCAATGGATAATCAACTGTAGGGTGGGTGCTCCCCTAGCTGGTCCTGAGGCTCGGACCCCTGACTTTTCCTCCCTAGAGATAACATCTAGGCCTCAGGTGTATTTCAGCTCCAGGCCCAGATAAACAACACAACCAGCGAGAGGGTGCAGGCTAGGTTCAGGGATCCCACCAGTGCATGAATCTGTGCACCGGGCCGCTGGTGTATAAAATAAGGTGCAAAACTGCCGTTCTCTGGAGCACTTCCTCAATCCCTTGAGATTGTGCTTCCTGGCAATTGTGGACAGTTTGGTTCAAATAAACTCACAAAAATTCTCTGCAGAATTGCATGTTGATTCCTTATGTTGATAACTCTAATCTCAATTTGCCATTAACCAGCTATAGGCACACGGGGGCACTGTATCAGCCTCTCAAATGGAGAATTTGACTGTGGAAAGTGCCTAGAACAGGGTATCTCTAACCCCAGTGGATGTGGCCACCGAGAATGCCACTGTGTGAGTGAATATGCACAGGTAGGTGGAGCCAGGCAGCTGGCTTCCTCCCAGGAGCAGTGACTGAGGGTGAAGTGGGGGTGGGGGTAGGGGCTGTGGTCTTAGTCTGAGGGGGCTGCTGGGTGACCCCACCCCAGCTACTTGGAAAGGCCAGGACAGGCGGGCACATTCACATCTAAACAAATCTCTAGTGAGCACACAGCTGAGCTTGAGCAAACACCAAAAATAAAAGGTGATTGCTGTCTCTGCTCCCCAACACTTGTGGCTTAAAGAAGGTAATAAAACCAAGGCCTGCTAAATGAGTTTTAGACTCTTTACATACATTGCCTCATTCTATTTCTCATAACCACTCTAGGGAGGCTTTTATTACCACAATCAGACTGATAAGGAACAGAGGCTGCTCCAGGTCAAGGAAATTCCCAAGATCCCAGAGCTGAGATGGCAGACTACCTCACCCAGGGCAATGCCAACGCCAGCTCAAGGAAACCTCCCAACTCCAGAATGAGTGCAGTCACCTCCCTTCCGGGAGAGGCCGGTGGGAGCTAGGGCTAAGGTGGGTGGTAAGGGGGCAGAGGGAAAAGGGAGCAATAATAAGGGATTGGGGGAAGGAAGGCTCCTCAGCTGGAGGCCCTGGTGGAAAAGGCTCAGACTCAATCCCTAGACTTGGCAGAGGGCAAACAGGACCCAGAGCCAACCTGGCTAAGGAAGGGCATGCAGAGGAAGGGAAGTGTGCATGAGGAAGGCCCGGCAGAGCCAGCTCTAGTCAGAGTGCGACAGATCACCAGGAAGAACACTGGGCTGGGGCTGCAGCCCTATCTGTCTGTCTCACTCACCCTTCAACTCTGTTCCTGCTCACACCTACCCAGCATCCTCAGGGCCCTCCCAGGAGACCAGCTCCACACTCTGCCCAGCAGGGAAAAGGGCATGTGCTGCGGTGAGTCCCTCTGCAAACATGCCCGATCCCGGAGGCTGGGCTCCTTCTGGGGCAGCCCCGTGGGCCAAGGCCAGGTTCTCTGGCTCCAAGGCTCTGGGCTCCATCTAATCCCTTTCAGCAATCCCCGTGGCCAAGGCCTTCCCTCAGGCTGCCTTCTGCACCGAGCCTGGAGATCCAAAACTAACCTTCGCTCAGCCAGCCACAGGCCAGGCTCTGCAGGTCTCCGACCTCAGCAATCTGAATCACAGCCCGGCCCATGAAGACCTCATTAACTAATGAACTGAAAATGAGAGAGTACTCATTGGAGGGAGGGAGGCTTACCAATGTGGATGCTCTGGCCAAGCAGAGGCCTCCTAAAAAACGGCATGGCTCAGTTGGTTAGAGCATCATCCCAATACGCCAAGGTTATGGGTTTGATCGCTGGTCAGGTCACATACAAGAATTAACCAATGAATGCATGAATAAGTGGAACAACAAACCGATATTTCTCTTTCTCTCTCCCCCCCTTCCTCCTTCTTTCTCTCTCTCATTAATAATTAAAAACAAAAACAGCCCTGACTGGTTTGGCTCAGTGGATACAGCATTAGCTTGCAGACTGAAGGGTCCTGGGTTTGATTCCGGTCAAGGGCACATACCTGGGCTGGGGGTTCGATCCCCGTAGGGTGTGTGCATGAGAGAGCCCATTAATGATTCTCACATTGTTGATTATATATATATATATATATATATATATATATATATATATATATATATATATATATCCCTATTCCTTCCTCTCTGAAACCAATAAAAAATATTTTAAAAAAACAAAGTAGACTAACACTAAGAAGTCAGAGCAGGGTCAAATAAGAGACAAGTAACTATTGCCTAAAACAAAGTGTCAGAAAAGCCACAAAATGCCATCAGCACAGAAGAATCCAGGAGAAAGGCCACTGCACAAGGCACAGCACAGAGCGGGGACTGCAGGGTCCGGGCCACAGTTTAGGGCACACCTTCCATCGTCGGAAGGCAAAGAACCCCACCCACAGTGTGCGTTCCTTACTGCTTCACACAGGCAGGAAACCAGCTCAGGGGCAAGGATCAGACAACCTATGACCGTGAACTTGCTGGTGGAGCCAGAACGGCACTCGGGGTCTCTGACCTGCTGAGTCAGGGCTGCATCCTGCTCCCGGCGGCCAGCCCCAGGCTTTGGGACTTGTTTCCCTCCCTGTCCTCAGCACACTCTTCATTCACGCTAAGAACCAACCAAAGGGAGGTGTGGCTCCCAGGAGACCTAGGCTGAAGGGGGTATGGAGGGACCCTGAGCAGCACGACCAAAGGGTTCTTCAAACAGCACTGGCAGCGTTTTGCAGAAAAGGTGACTTTCTGCCGAAACCGGTTTGGCTCAGTGGATAGAGTGTCGGCCTGCGGACTGAAGGGTCCCAGGTTCGATTCCGGTCAAGGGCATGTACCTTGGTTGCGGGCACATCCCCAGTAGGAGGTGTGCAGGAGGCAGCTGATCAATGTTTCTCTCTCGTTGATGTTTTTGACTCTCTACCCCTCTCTCTTCCTCTCTGTAAGAAAGAAAGAAAGAAAGAGAGAGAGAGAGAGAGTGAGAGAGAGAGAGAGAGAAAGAGAGAGAGAGAGAGAGAGAGAGAGAGAGAGAGAGAGAGAAAGAAAGAAAGAAAGAAAGAAAGAAAGAAAGAAAGAAAGAAAGAAAGAAAGAAAGAAAGAAAGAAAGAAAAGGTGTCTTTCTGACTTCAGGAAACTCCAAACCTACCTCTCCCCATAAGTACTAATTCCCGCCATAGCTCTCCCAACTCCTCTGACCTCATTTACCTCCCCAATGGACCTGGGAGAGGAGGGTTTACAAAGAGGACTCAGGCTCAGTACCAATGGGCCACAGGTAGGGAACAGCATTCATCATTCCAAATCCTGTGCCTGTCGCCAGACCAAACCGCCTCAGGTCTTTGGTCCAAAGAGTTTCAGGCAGACTTATTACTTACACAGCCTGAAGAGGCACTCAGAAACTCCATGTATCAAGTAAGGCTTTAAAAACAATCTTGCTGGCATGGAGGCAGCCCAATTTCAGAGCTGTCCTTTCTGAAATGTTCTAACAGGCAGTTAGGAAAGAATGGTTCTAGTTGTTTCTCTTCATTATGCCGCCTGGGCCTCTAAGGATGTGCAATTTCACTTCCTCCAGAAATCAAGGAAGAAAGAAGAGAGGAAAATGGCCCACACGAGACTTACATTAACAGAAGAAGTGGGCGGCCGGCCTCATCGCTTTAAAACACTCCATCTGAGTAAACAGCAGCCTCCTCTCCTCAGAGACTCCCAGGCCATTCCCAGCAGCCTCCACTCTGTGGCCGGAATCCAAGCCCGTACCTGGCTGCTCACAACAGCCCAGCGTTTCAGTCATCCAGCTCCCACCGCCCCGACGGGTGAGTCATGGTTCTCAGTCGGAAAAGAATGACAGAGTAATTGTCTGATTCAGAAAGGCAGCTGACCCCTCAGCCTGGTGAGCGATGAATGAGTCCCCAGCGTCTCCTTCCACCTGAAGAAAACTGGATTTCTGGTCCAGCTGGAGGGCGAGAAGCTTCTAGCTTGTGCTATGGGTGAGGCCAGAAATGTGAAGTCAGTTAACACTGGCTATCTTTTTTCCTCCCTCTTTCTTTCCATCCATTAACAAACCCCCCTCTTCTCCCATCCCCCCATATTCTTGTCCAGTATCCCTTAGGATTCTAGCAAGGGCCAAACTCTGAATGAATAAAAACAGATACTTTGCCGAAACTGGTTTGGCTCAGTGGATAGAGCGTCAGCCTACGGACTGAATGGTCCCGGGTTTGATTCCGGTCAAGGGCATATACCTTGGTTGCAGGCACATCCCCAGTAGGGGCTGTGCAGGGGGCAGCTGATCAATGATTCTCTCTCATCAATGTTTCTAACTCTCTATCCCTCTCTCTTCCTCTCAGTATAAAAATCAATAAAATATATTTTTAA